GACAATTTTTTATATACATTACGTAATTATGCTGAAACCTGATGATAATATTTACCTATATATATATATTATATATCGAGAGAGATAGACGAAAACTTTAAAAAGCTGCGAGAGTTATCAAGTTTCGCTTTGCCGATCGACAAATGTTGCTCACACGAAAAGTCACTTGCATAATGTCTCCTATTTTTCTTCGTTTGTCAGAAGAGTCATATTACTTTCGCCAAATATTAGAAATAGCAGTCGTTTAGTAGAAAAATAATATATGGCATTCAACCAAAACTTAGTGTAATATATTTTTTAACATAATAATGTAAATGCATAGTGTGAATCTAAGTTGTTCTATCAAGAGCAAATAATATTTAATTGTGATTGTGCATAATTTATTCTTTAAATAATATATTTTGTTTTATATAATTTTTATATAATTCGTAAAATTCGACATGATTCTTCAAGCAGTATGACTCTTCGGACTCACAGATATCAAAGATTTAGGTAGTGATTCTTTATTTTTCTTATCGCGTAGCAATAAATATCGTACACACCTGATGCCTACGTCTGTATCTTTATCAAAATTGCCCAATGTGACATGCTGAACTACTAAGAAAATAGAAAGCTGTTTTAAACAGACTCGCACAATAGTAAATATAATCCAACAAATTATTCTTGTATAATTATTAAACTAAACCGATACGAAGGAGGTTCAACAATAACATTTGTAACAAAGAAAACTCTAGAAAATGCATCATGGAATTTCTGTCATTGTACTGTGCGGGAGGAAATAGCATATCTGCACACGTGTATGCGAAAAGAAATATTCGTGTCGGAGACGAGATATTATTTTTAGCAACATAGAAAACTCGTCCGCTAAAGGTTCTCATCATCGTAATAATAATAAGTCGATTTCCGATGAACGCGGAGAATTGACATACCGACCGCATGCGTGCGCTTTATATATGCCAGCGTACATATATATATATATATATATATATATATATATATAATATACATATATATATATATATACATATATATCTGTATAGCAAATATATTTTCTATTCCTTTCTACGATTAGGGTTGTATAAGAAAACACGTGATTAACGAGACGAAGAGAATCTCGCAGTTAAATAATCAATTTAGGTAGACACGAGCAGAAATGAATTACAAAGTGAGTCAAAGTATAGAGAAAGATATTCGAATGACAAAATCTAGACGATGCGAGACAAGCGATTACTCACAGAGAAGTAAATCGTGAACCTACAGTAATAATGGCAGATATTTTACATTCATATCATGAAACGGTAATAATCCACAGGCTGTTGTAGTAGATCTCTTAGGCGCAACTTGCAATATGTATATTACACAATACATATTATGCAATACGTGTATTTGTAACTTTTAAGGCGAGGCATTTGGAAAAGCTCAAATACTATTGTCCTCTAAATCGCTTTGTGCGAAATTGTTATCATTGGTAGCATATCGTAAGGTGTGATAAAATCGTACACATACATAATACACATATATCAAACATTTTTATAATTCAAAATTATCTTAAGGAATTTCTGAGAGCAAATCTTCCTCTGGAACATTCCTTTAGGAACATCTAAATGTTCTAAACTTTGTTTTTCTGATCGTAAACATTAGTTTTAGATTTCTTTTTTTTTTCAAATTGACTTTTCGCTCTAAGTTCAAAACCTCCGGATACTTTTGGAATTAGGTATGAACACGAAAATATTTTAGAAAAATATTTCGTAAGTTTCTCAATTTATTTTTTTTTCCTTTTCAATCTACTTTTCTCATTCACATTCTAACATTTCACCGATGTCTCGCCTTAAACATCTTTTTCTCCGTAATAAATCCTCTCATCGCACTTACTGCAGCATTCATCTTTTTCTACAAGTAATCAGTCCCATCGCTTCTCTCTCGCTTCCTCGTGATTCTTTTCCCGCTGCTTCTGTACGTGTGCTATTGTCACGATAAGTACACCGCTTGGCACTGTATCAGCACGTAGAATCATCGCCTCGCTCATCTTTATCGTAAGACCTATCTCGCATTAATTATCCCCCGATATACCTCGATTAGCGCACCGAGAAAAGGATGAGAAACGTATATTATTATTAAGCGAAGCACAATGCCATAGAATAGTGTTTATGGTCGCTAGTGCTACCATGTATCGTCCCCTAACATACATATTGCCCGCCTAATTATACATCCCGTGCGACGAGATTCATGTGGTTTTTACAAGAAAAAAAAGAGAAAAATGCGCTGTGTAGCTTCTTCCATGATACGCGGAACCATAGTTTCGTAATAAATACTAGTGTCCGAATAGTGAACGTTTTTTCTCCTGTGTGTACTCCTAGTATACTCTTAGCTCAAGCTTCTCCTCTGTTCTCTTCTTTTTTTATTGTGAAAACTACAGTCGCCACTTAATCGTCAATCTATATTTGCGATAGTATTCGCTTAAATCGTGCTCGAGAACGGCGACGAGGAAAGCGAAGAAGCATTACAGCAGGCACATCAAGTTTAACTTGATGACTATCAACATTCGTTGATATTAATACATTATATTCAGAGCCGAATTTTTCGTTGCAGTTACTTATTTAGAAATATAGTTTCCACTCCATTACAGTAATTCGAATGACTTTATCACCTTCAGAAATACAACTTGGAATTTTCAACTATTTTATATTTCCCATTGTTACGATCTCTCTCTTTTTCTCTCGTTTTTTGCAAAATTTTCGCAACTCTTAACTTCTTTTTTGCAATCTGCAAAAATGTAGCTATTGGATCTACGGTGTAAAATCCAGCTCTGAACAATGTACCTCTCTTAGCATTTAGATTAGATTATATTATTTTCGAGTGGAATTGGCGGAAAGGCTAGGGGCCACGAATGACCAAAAAATGTGTATATATACATATATATATATAATTTAATTCTAAACCGATCTGGTAAAATAGTAGATGTATTTCTGTTATTACCATTGTTTTAATTGTTTGTTATTGTATTGTATCTTTTTACTCTGTTGCGTATTCGCTTTAGTGCATTCACGTACAAACGGTGCACACGCACCGAATAATCCAAGTGACCTGTGTTATATTATTTAACAATGTCTCAATCGGTCTTGTCAACGGTGATACATATGCATTTAATGATAAGTTGTTACCGTCGTTCAAAATGTTCGTCGTGTGACGACAGAAATTAGAAAATCATTGGGTATTCAATGTCTTTTGACACTTTTGTAAAACAAAGAGAGAAAAAACGATATGCTTATTATAGAAAAAAAGTAGAGATATTCACTCTATTATTCCGTTATCTTTTTTTTTATTATTTCCTGATGAGAAAGGGATTCAGAGAAGGGTTAGAAATTTTCAAATTAATTAATGTTCTTGTTGCTCTCACCAATGATTTTCTTGCGTATACGCTTATATTAGAAAGCGATGGCAATGAATACACATTCCACCAAGTACAAAAAGATTACCTTCTACATAATTTTGATTGAAACGCGGAACCGCGCGTAATGTGATGTATTTCGATTAGATGTTGCTTTTTCGCGCACCCCTCCGTGAAGAAAGTAATAGTTTAGTGCTTATTGAGTGCAATTACCATGTCGTTATTACGTAGATTATATATATAGTCGTCACTAGGCACATATCAGCAAAATATAACAAGAACTGTTGTAATCAACGCTGCACCTTTGCATCTGTTATATATTATCGAATAGTGTTTCGCGGTCACTAGTGTAATACGATGTGCAATAACTATCTGAATACGCCAAGTTTACTTTTTATGTTAAAATGAAATTAAACATTCTCGATTTTTTACGAAGCTATTTTTTACTCTTACATCCACTAGACGCGCGACCAGTTGCGAAATTTTTATTTTAAAATAAAAAGAAACGCATTTCTACGTAAAATAATACTATTTACACACTGAGAGGATAATATTATAACAATGCTAAATAACATTGTGATCGAAGGAATTTCAAAATTACTTAAAATTACCAATATTTGAACACTGTTCTCAATGTGTGAGGGGTGATATTGTTTTGCGCTAGCGTCTTACATTAATCATGAAATCGTCGCACTCCCGCCGATGTTACATTCATAATGATACATTGTACTACAGCGATATTGTATCTATAGCTTTAATCTACTATCAGAATGGTTGTCACAGTGGTTGTCATTCTATATAATATATTAATAACCATTATATACATACATATATATATATGTATGTATGTATATATAAAGGAAACTTCCAGATTTATTTACAAAATACGTTACAAATATTGATATAATAAATGTAATCATCATTCATAATAGTCAGAAATTAATTATTTCATTCATCAAACAGGAATAATTATGTATAAAAGAATAATTTGTAAGTGAGCAATGAGCTAAAAGCTCCTCTAGCTGGAAGAATTATAAAATAAGTAAGTACTGCAATTAATAAAAATGTCTTTATATGTGCTTATTTCATTTAAGTTAATTCATTAAATTAATTAGTTACTTTACTTAATATAGAAGTTATATAATAATGATAATGATTGACTTATAACTCCATCTATTAATCTATTAATAATCTATTAATAATATAATTCTATTTTTCACAGGTTCGCATAATAAATATGGTGAGATTTTATATATATTAGATATATAAAGACTTCAGATTTACAAATATTACAAATTAATAATAAATTAATCATCATTCATAATAGTCAGAAATTAAATTTCATTCATCAAACAGAATAATTATGTATAAAAGAATAATTTGTAAGTGAGCAATGAGCTAAAAGCTCCTCTAGCTGGAAGAATTATAAAATAAGTAAGTACTGCAATTAATAAAAATGTCTTTATATGTGCTTATTTCATTTAAGTTAATTCATTAAAATTATATTAGTTACTTAATATATAAGTTAATATAATAATGATAATGATTGACTTATAACTCCATCTATTAATCTATTAATAATCTATTAATAATATAATCCTATTTTTCACAGGTTCGCATAATAAATATGGTGAGATTTTTGTATTAGTTTAGTCGCTTCTTTCTATATTTCATGTACAATCATCTTCTTTGGTGCGAAATCTGTCACATGAATATAAATCATATTACAAGAAACAAGGTCTTCTCGATCTTGGCACAGAGTTTGTTCATCTCTGCAGGTACTGTATATTCAGCTGCCAGAATGGCGTTTGCCACTGCAATTGTTTCTTGTACTGACCTTGCCTTGATCCAAATCTTACCATTCATTCCGACAGCTATTTCATATGCTTGATTCTTGCCAAGCAACTTAAACAATGGACAATCTGGATTCAATATTTTCCTCACAAGACTTAAGGAGCAGGTAAACATCATACCATCTGTGCCAAGCACACCCAAGTCATTCTCTTTTCCCTGTGAGTCCACACATACCAATTCTGGTTCCATATCCTTGCTGGCGATTAGCAACTTAGCAAATACCACATCACCTATTTGTATATCAGGACGATTCTTTTTGGATGCACCTTCAAAGGCCAAATATGACAATGATGCCTGTTCACTAGCACCGATATCTACTTTATATATATCGCCAGCCTTCTGAGTTATTATACCCACTATATTTTCACCACGACTAGGAATATATCTATAAATTATAATATTATCAGATTAGGTGCAAAGTTATTATTATTTGCATGTTGTAATAACCAATATCAAATTTTTTACATTGGGCATGTTTGATAAATGAAATATTTTTCGTTAAAAACAAAAACAATTTTTTATTTTGGAGAAAAATGTGGGTAACAAATCTTTATCTCTATCATAATTTGTGGAAGATTATAATTCTGTATTGCATCATATATAATTCTAGATCATTTGCAATACTCAAAAGTACTGGATATTAATACTATTCAGTATTATACACAAACACATAAGTAAATATTGTATTACTAATGATGGTCGAACTATTACATAGCATTAAATTATTTGAACTTCTAAAATAAGCACAAAATATCGACGCGCATGCGCTTATTATCAAACACAAATATTTATATGTGTGCGTTTTATACCGTTTTTGATAGCCGTCAACATAGTACACGGCCGGTTCACGTTTTTTCAGAATACCAGCTTTACAAATAAATATTGCATCGTTGTCACGACGTAGCCCAGGGCCTAGAATCACAACTTCCTTTTCATTGCTCAATGAAACATCCTTCACCCTGTCCCCTGGCAGCACTACATCCCCCTTGTTAACTTCCATCTCGAAGAAATCAATTTTATCTCCTATCCTGAAACATATAATGAAAACTGAAATGTTTCAACGTTCACCAGCAACTTGTTCGGAAAACTATTGGTCTGTTCTCTTTAGCTGCACTATTGAACTGGTGCAATAAGTTGAAATGAGAAAAAATAGTTGTCTCATTCTAAGTTATTACACTAGTTCCGCAGTGCAGCTAAAAAGAACAGACATGGGTTTGTTCTTTTCAGCTGAACTAGTACTGCACTTGAACCAGTCCCCTGACACTTACTATTATATCCTTTACGGTATGTCTACGTAATGAAGCCAAGCCGCTACGTGGTGCTAGCAACAGTCACCATGTGTTTACGTCTGTAATTTCAGTGACTTGAGGTTAGAAGTGTGTTAAAGCTTCGCGAGAAAAATAACAAAATAAAAAGTGAAATCAAATATGTATCTAATAAAAGTAATCTTAATTTAATTAAATGATGCCGCGCTGTATTGCACTTGATTGTACATCAGGTTACACTTCTAATCATGAAACAGTTCATTTTTTTTATGTGCCAAAGGACGAAAATGTGAGAAAAGCATGGCAAGCGGCTTTAAGGAGAAACGATATAACTATCAACTCAAAACAAGCCATATGCCATCATCACTTTTGAAGTAGTGATATTTTGTGGAAACGTGAAATTTGTGATGAGAAGGGAAATGTTCTTGGTGTGGTAAGTTACGTTAGTTATCTAAGTTATTTTTCCATTTGCTTAATTTACACCGATCATTTAATACTGATATAATATTCATCAAAAAAACTATTATACTAGTTTAATAAACCATTATTTACATGCATAAATTAAAATTATTAAATAGAAAGTTATTATTTAGTACAAGTATTAAATAATCAGTATAAAGTAGGCAATATAGTCAATAATGTTTAATAATTTATATATATATAACAGCAATATTCACTTGTTGACTTATTAAATAATAGTCATTTAAATAACAATTATGTAAGTTATACTTGTCATTATTAATTGTCATATTGTAAATATTTTCTTTAGTCTGTGCCATTTAAAATTCCAAGGCTAAGTAAAGGGATTGTGCCTTCACAATTCCCCTGGTTTGAAGAAACCCCAAATATAGAAGATACATATTCTATACATATTGATCAAAATGTACACGACCTACATATTGAACAACATGAAGAAAATGAACATGTGATAGTACCATCATTAAATAATGCAATAGAGGATCGTACGACAATGGTATTATTTGATAGCTTAATAGATAGTATAAACAGAAAACAGTTTAATATGCCAAGTCAATGGATGCACATACAATATTGCAGTAATGACACACGATTATTGGTATTTTTTTTAGCAACATGCAACAAAATAGAAAATTATAATGACAGATATTCATTTAACCCTATCAAAGAAGTCATACTCAAAGAAGATATGACATTACAAATAAATGTCTTAAAGCAACCTGTTTTAAATATTCCATCGCACATACAGATTTATAATAATATAAATAGAATAGAACTGCTACAAGAGACATTATTTTCTTTTGATAGCCTTGACATATGTTGTGGTACAAATAAAAGTGAGATTAAAGATGTTGAATATAATGAAGCTTTTAAAGATATTAATGGTATATGGAGACACAAAAATGTTTATTACTTTCATCCCAGAAATGTAAATTTTGTGCCATTGCAAACAAATCTATAAATCAAAAATACCGTCGGAGAAAAATAATGAAATCAATTAAAAAAATAAAAATAGCTGTATCAAAAACAGAAAAACAAAAGAAAATTTTATTATTACGCAAACGATATTATAAAGCACAAAAAGCAAAAAGAGCTAAATATATATCAAATAAATTGAGAAAAGAACTTGCAGATAATATGATGAAAGTAAAAGAAATTTCAATAGAGAACATAAAAGACCAATTAAAAGAAACACAAATTTCTCAACATCAGTTAACTGCAATACAAGAAATAATAAAAGCTGCGAAACATACAAATATTAAAGGTCACAGATATAGTGAAGATTGGATACTATTATGTATGTTATTACGTATGAAGTCACCTAAAGCTTATAACTTTTTAAGAAAAAACAAAATACTACCCCTTCCATGTATTAGAACTACGCAAAGGTAATATACGTACATTTTTTTATTATTTTAATATAATTTCTACTTAGAAATATGTATAATATGGTATGAGTATATGGCGATTTTTATATAACAATGCAATATATGAATTGGTTTTAGATATATTTCACTTATTGATACACCATGCGGTTTGACACAAAATTTTTTGAGATGTTTAAATTAGCATTGGAAAAAAAAAGAAGAGAGACAAAAACATGGTGTAATTTTGCTCGATGAAATACATCTTAGAGAGTCTGTTAATGTGAACTCTAAGAATCTCACATATACAGGGTTGATTGACTTTGGAAGTGAAAGGATACCATCATTTAATCTTGATGATAAAGCAGACCATGGATTAGTAATAATGTTTCAGCCACTTGCAGATTCTTATTCCCAACCAGTAGCAGTGTTTGCTTCCAAGGGGCCTGTATCAGAAGAAGTACTTGGCAACTAGTAATTAAGGTATATACAATATGCAGTGCAAATATTTTTATATATATCATATTTTTCTCATAATTCAACAAAAAATTGCTAAATATGTAATATGCTTCATACTGTTTTTATTTTTTTCATATCATAGGCTATTGCATTATTAGAGAATATCAATGTTAAAGTCCATGGTGTAATTACTGACGGTGCTGCAACTAATAGAAAATTTTGGAATATTGTAGGTGTATCTGGAAAAAAAGATGATTTAATTAATGTTTTTAATCACCCTACTGTAAACGGACGTTATATATATATGTTATACGTTATATGTATTCTCAGATACACCACACCTTATCAAAACTATTAGAAATCGATTATATAGTACATCATTACAGGTAAAATAATAAATCAATTTTTATGTGGTTGTGTGTTACTTCGTGCATAATGTACTATTAAGGGAGATTTCGGAAAATCGAAGTATTATTATTATTTTTCTCAAAAATAGCGAATTTCTCTTATATTTCATTTAGCTTTTGACGTTATCCGCGTCCGTTTTGATTTGTTTTTGACGTTTTGTGAACCTTTTACTTCATTATTTGAAAATGAGGGTCAATTTGATATTCTGTATATTCAATATAAAATCGATCCTTATTCTAAGAAAGTGAAATGAAATTCTCACGAATTCTCACGAATCGTCAAAAATAAATCCACAAAGAATGCGGCGCAAAGTTGGAAACCAAGTCAAATATTTATTCACAATGCGAAAATTTAAAATATTTAATCTCTTTCGTTTTTATTTTTAGCTCAATCCTGATGAAAAACATCAAATGGGATTATTTCCGAATATTACATAATAAAGATAAATCGCTACCAGCTCTAATACGAATATGTCCAAAAATAACAACCAATCATTTAATACTTACTAACGCAGCTAAAATGAGAGTTCGTCTAGCTACTCAAGTAAAACATCTTAACAGTATTTTATTTAACGTTTTAACAGATTATTTAATAGAACAGTCCAATAGTTTACAAAATATATCTTTATATAAACGCCATTGTTATAGGTTTTTAGTAAATCGATGTCTCATGGATTGAGATTTTATAGAAATTTCTTACCTGAATTACAAGAATGTGATAACACTGCTTTTGTGAATAGATAAATAACTTATTTGATGCACTAAATTGAAATAAAGTTTCTGAAGGTTTGACTGTTGAAAACACGGACTACAAAGTAAATTAAATATTTTCAATTAGTTAATAATTGTTTTGTAATTTATATTCGTTTTTTGTTTATATATTTATATATTTTGAAGAAGCTAATATTATGCTAAACGTTCAATTTCTTAATAGATTTTAGGGACATCTCTTGAAAAACTAGATGCTTGGGAGCAACATGTCCTTGATGGTACTATTAAAGAGGAAAATTTTTTAACGAGACAAACTGCTGAAGGTCTTCGCGTGACGATAAAATCAACATTAGATATAATAAAATATTTAACGACAAATGCTGGTTTTCCCTCTGTTTTAACAGGCCGCTTGAATCAAGATTCATTCGAGGTTTGATAACAAAGCTCATATTTCAGTAATCATAATGTTACATGTAACATATATATGTTAGTTAAAATTTCCTACTTAACATGTAAATGTTATATAACACACATGTTACATAATAGCTACATTGTTGAGTAGGAAATTTTAATTAACATGTACGTTGCATGTAACATCGTATTTGCTGGGATATATCTCTAGGTAACAGAATGACATCTAAAGACATCTTAATGATATATTATTGACATTAAAGGCGTCATTAATAAATTATTAATGTCACTTGATGTCATTTTGTTGACTGGATATATATATGTCTATATATGCAAACATTTAATTATGAAAGACATATGTATATATATATCCAATCCTAACATTATTTACATGCTTAGAACATCTTTGGGTCGTCCCCAGGAAAACCTTGCACTGTTAGAACAGTATATAAAAAAACATTAGATCATCTTAAAATATTGATTATAAAATCAATCCATCAATTCACGTTTTTGAACATATGTTTCTTGAATGTTTCGTTTCATATTTTTAAAATATTTTCAGATATTAATGTGTGTATGTGTGTATATGTATTTGTGTGTGTATATTCTATGATATATTTAGAAATATATACAATACATTTTAGAACTATGACAAGAAATATTTAATTTTTCGTAATACCTTTGAACGTTTATTATAAGAAATATTTAAAACATTATTTTTATTATAAGTTAGTATTAATATGTTTCTATATATTGTTCCATAGAGATTTTTTGGTTCAATAAGACAAGCAGCAGGATCTAATGACCATCCCGGAATCCCTACCTTTCTCCAACCATATAAAATTTTGAGTACTTCAAGCATCCTTGAGCCTCCATGTTATGGAAATTGTTCTATTGCAGATAGTACAAAACCTATAATTTCTATATCTGATATAAAACAGTTATATGAAAAACCAGATAAATCCTTAACAAAATTAAAAGACAAGTTGGATCATGCTGTTAAATACAGCGAATGGATTCTTGATGATATAATAATAGATCATGACTATCATCTACCTGAAATAACTGATTGTATCGTCTATTATACAACGAGATATTTATGTAATTATATTTTAAAATTTACAAAGTGTGATATATGTAAGAACGCTATTACTGATCCCATAGCATGTAGCCTTTTTCCTGCGGCGCTGTTAACAAATATCAAAACTGATGGTCGTTTAACACATCCAAATTTAAACATGTTTAAATTTATAATTTACTTAGAAAGCTTATTTTCAAAATATTGTCATCGTGCTGATGTATATGAGACCATTATAGATAATATTTATATAGAAAATTTGTCTTTTCCATGTAAAGAACATGGTGATGCTATTTTAGCAAAAATAATCGAATTTTACATCTGTATGCGCATGAAGCAATATTGTCATAAAATTAATAATGTGAAAAAGAAACAAAGTCAAAATATTTAAAAAACTGCGAAATATTATAAAAATTAAATAAAAAATATCCTAAACCAACAAAAATACTTTATTATTTATGTACCTACCTTATTTTATACCATCTATTTTATTTTGTGTTATACATTTTGATTATATAATTATAAAGAAATATATATATATTTATATTTTTATTAATTTATATATATATATATTATTATGGATCAAACATCTATAGTAAGAATTCGTAACATATACATATAAATTTGTATTATGCTATTGTGAAAAAAGCGAATGGACTTTCAATAAGTTCATAATAAAGTATTATTATCTACCTGAAATTACAGATTGTATTATCTATCATATAACAGTATATTTATGTAACTACATATTAAAATTTAGAAAGTGTAACATATGTAGGAACGCATTTACTGGTCCTATATCATATAACCTTTTTCCTTTAACATTACACATATATACTAACTGTGTTGACTGTTGCCAGCGCCGCGACTTCAATAAGTGGACACCTGAAACTACGTGAAACGGGGGACTGACTTGAACTGCATTTTCAGAACTAGAACTGACGAGTAGTACCAGCAGAGAGAAACCTGAGAGTCAATCAGCGAGAGGCAATCAACGAAGGTTCAGAAATTTTTATGAATTCGACGTGCCCCTTGAGAAAATAGACGTCAACTACGTCGATGTCGCTCGGTAACGAGTGTCTGTGATAATTTGGTTCATATCTGAGCTACTATACAGGATATAGTAAAAATTATATATATATCATCAGGAGGAATCATCCCAGCAAACACAATAAGCCTGTTCGTTTTGTCTGCACTGCTGAACTGATGCAACAAATTGAAGTGAGAAAACTTACGTTTGTCTCACTTTAACTTAATGCACCAGTTCAGCAATGCAGACAAAACGAACAAGCCTAACATTATATGTAACGTGCATGTTAGTTGTAATCTCCTACTTAACAATATAACTGTTACATAACATATGTGTTATATAATAGTCATGAACTAAGATCTTTATCAGTTTTCTTTCAGTATGTATAACAGTCAAGATATGATGAGCAAAATAATTATTCGATAGAATTATAAATAAGATTATCGAATTTGAAATACTGGGCAAAGCCCCTCTCCCGCTTATATGTACGGTCGCGGACATAAAGGTTGTCACTTTTTTTTTTAATGACTTTCGGGACGCATCCCGACTCGAGAAAGATGAGAGCTGCTGCTCCGCCTGCAGAACACGCCTGCGCAGTAACTCACAACGAAATGTGAGAAATGAAATATATGTGGTATGACATAAGTACACTCAAACGCAAAAAACCCGGTACACTAAAAATTTGAGAAAAAATTACAAAATTTCAAATGATCATAACTTGGTAAATAATGAAGATACAAATATGCGCAGAAATGCAAAACGAACCGCAGAGCCTCTTAGCCCCTTAAGCCTCGCTGAATCGACATTTGTTGCAAATTCGAAATTGAATATCTCGACACCTAAATATCCTAGCAGCAAATTTCAAAAACGGTTTGAAAGCTTTGAAACCGTACTTTTCGAAAGATCTATCGAAATTGTGCGCAACGATATGTTTTCAAAATGGCGGGTGATAAAAAGGAGAACATGAAAAGTTGCTAAAAAAGGTTCGAGCGTGCGACGGCGCATGGAGCAAAATAAGTGTCGCAGCTCAATGGGACGAAAAGTACCTAAAAGTATAGAATATTTTCTTTAAAATACTTCGTTATAGAGCTTGATGCGATACTTATTCACTGAATTATGCAAATTTAACAAGAAAACCGCATTTTTAGCAAAATTTGGAACAACTCAGTGAAAAATGATCACGTCGAGCTCGGTAAAGTAGCATTTTAAAGATAACACTCTATACTTTCATGTGCATTTGGTCCCATTACGCTGCGATACCTGATGCACACCATGCACCATCGCAAACACGGACCTTTGATTATCAATTTTGATTATCATCCTCTCACTTTATCATCCGCCATTTTGAAAAAAATGGCCGAGCATAATTGCCATTCAGATATTCTTAAAGAGGACGTTTCAAGCTTCATTTTGCATTTCTGCGCATATTTGTATCTTCATTATTTACCAAGTTATGATCATTTGAAATTTTGTAATTTTTTTCCAAATTTTTAGTGTACCAGGTTTTTTGCGTTTGAGTGTATGAGAATATCATATGAAACAGATATATTACTAAAATAGTTTAAATCTTTATCAATATTTTTAGATTTCCAAAAAATCTGGAACATCGTACAAAATGGGTGAAAGCATTGAAAAATGTGGCCATAAAAACAAATAGCACTGTATGTCAAGAACATTTTAATGAAACCTGTATGTACAAAACTGGATTGTCATCATTACGGTTGTACGAAGGATCTGTACCATCTATATTTCCACATGTTTCTAATTTAAGGTAATATTACTAAAATTGTTAATACTTTTAAACTATAATAATACCACTTTCATACAAACTTTATACAAATAAAAAAAAAATTGTTAATAGCATAACAGAAAGTATACACTGTAACGAAAACAATAATGCATCTTCTGAAGTATTGATGGAAGATGAATCAACAATTGGTTCTCATCAAGGACAAATACAAGATGATATGACATATTCAACAAAAACCAATACTGTGGCGTCAAATGATAAATGTTTAATAAGATATCCAGGAGATATTACAACCGAAAAAGTGGCAAACATGTCGTCAAGTAGTTTAAGGAAGTACGTTACTATATTAAGAAAGAAATATAATGCTCAACAGATTGCAATGAATCGTTTAAGATCTCAAGTATATAGTCAGAAGAAAACAATTGAGCGTTTAAAACAGTTGTTCACTGCTCTAAGAAAAAATAATCTTATTTCCTCTAATGCTGAGCAAGTATTACAGGTAATTAAAACAGATACTCCTTCACTACATATACTTGAATCGTATTGTAAAACCTTTTATAGGTTGAAATACATAAATGGCCAAAATAGGTATTTGAAAATACAAAATGCAAAATAGGTATTTTACAAATGCTTTTCCAAAATTATGTATTTTATATACAGGGTGTTTGATAGCTGATCATGCAGACGAAAGTTGGAGATCGATTGGGTGTAGCCGAGAAGAAAAGTCATGTACCATAATGTCAAATTGGCAATAGTTATCGAGTTATTAATTAAAATATGTGAGCCAACGAGCGCGTAGAGAGCGGAGGGCGGCCGCAGTAAGCACGTAGACATTTGATACAGGCGGAGTCAGTGAGTGACGGTAGGCAAGCGCGCGCAGCGAGGGGCAACGTAAGCGACAAGAGGCGATCGCGCGTGACGAGGAGCGAGCGAGCTTTTTCTTTATAGCTTTTTCCTTATAGCTCGCTCGCTCTTCGTCACACTCGCTCGCCTCTTGTCGTTTGCGCTCGCTCGCTCCTCGTCGCGCGCGTTCGCCTCTTGTTTACGTTGCCTCTCGCCGCGCGCGCTCGCCTACCGTTACTCGCTGACTCCGCCTGTATCAAATGTCTATGTGCTTACTGCGGTCGGCCTCCGCTCTCTACGCGCTCATTGGCTCACATATTTTAATTAATAACTCGATAACTATTGCCAATTTGACATAATGGTACATGACTTTTCTTCTCGGCTACATCCAATCTATCTCCAACTTTCGTCTGCATGATCAGCTATCAAACACCCTGTATATAAGCACATATATGTATATAAAAATACATAATTTTGGAAAAGCATTTTTAAAATACCTATTTTGCATTTTGTACTTTCAAATACCTATTTTGGCCATCTCTACAGAAATATATGTATATATTTATGAGCCATTCCATATTTTTATGTTAATATGGGAATCGCTATGTATGTGTGGATGGAGTGAGGCCCAGATGCGGACAGAATAAATCGGACACAGTAACAATCGGACACAGAATAAATCGGACACAGTAACAATCGGACACAGTAACTATCGGACACAGTGACAATCGGACACAGTAACAATCGAACACAGTAACTATCGGACACAGTAACAATCGGACACAGTATCTATCGGGCACAGTGAGAAACGGACACAGTAGGATACGTGCTCCGTACATGTTAATAGTACATGTATGAGCGGGGGGCTCCGCACCCCCTGCACCCGGGTTTCGCCCGTTCCCCTCACCCCCCGCCCAGTAAACCTTTTGCCAGTAAAGGTATATTATATGATATTAATGGTAACGAAATTAATTGGGACTTTATTGTTAAATTACTTAAATATCAAGAAGAAAATCATTTTCATTTAGCAAATAAATTAACAAGGAAACATATTCAGTGGCAAGAGAATAAAATGAATGTTAAGTTAGCAGTACAAACATTGAGCAAAAGTGTTGCAATTGCTTTACAGCAGTTGGAAGAAGATAATATGAAAGACTTCGTTGGCAGCTCAGCTACAGTTTAATTTATTATGATTATGAACGATATTTTTGATATTTGAAATTCTTGCAGTTTATATTCTTATGGGTATAAACAGCTATTGAATCCACAAACATTTAATAATGTAATCTCATTTTTCACAGAAGCAAAATTATATTTGTCGAACATTAAAATCAAAGTTTCTACAGAGAATTATAAAAAAAATATAAATGATAAGATGAATATTCTACAAACCAAAAGCAAAACGGGTTTCTTAGGACTGATTAATAATATGGAAAGTTTCGAAAATATCTATAGAGAATATGTTGAAAAAATAAAATGAAGTACATAATGACTTATAAATTTTCGCAAGACAACTTGGAGATTTTATTTTCTTGTATTCGATCCATAGGGGGATTTAATAATAATCCGAATGCTATACAATTCATCGCAGCTTTTAAACGACAACTCCATCATAATGAAGTGAAATCTTCTGCAGCAGCCAATTGCATTGCACAAGACACAACAAATATACTTACAATATCATCACGAAAATCTGTAGCACATTCAAATGTTGCTAATATTAATGATGTTTGTGATAGTGATGAAGAAGAAAATTTAATGATATCTGATTTATTAATAATATTGAAGGCAAAGAACATGCTATCATTTATATGTCAGGCTTTGTCGAACGAAAATTATTAAAAAAGATTACTTGCGAAACATGCCTTTATCTTTTTAACGAATGTACAGTTATGAAGTCTACATTCATAGAAAGAAAAAGTGTGGATATTTACATTATCCACGAGAAGATACATATAAACTCATTGTTGCCGNGTTCCGCAGTGCAGCTAAAAAGAACAGACATGGGTTTGTTCTTTTCAGCTGAACTAGTACTGCACTTGAACCAGTCCCCTGACACTTGCTATTATATCCTTTGTTACGGTTATGTCTACGTAATGAAGCCAAGCCGCTACGTGGTGCTAGCAACAGTCACCATGTGTTTACGTCTGTAATTTCAGTGACTTGAGGTTAGAAGTGTGTTAAAGCTTCGCGAGAAAAATAACAAAATAAAAAGTGAAATCAAATATGTATCTAATAAAAGTAATCTTAATTTAATTAAATGATGCCGCGCTGTATTGCACTTGATTGTACATCAGGTTACACTTCTAATCATGAAACAGTTCATTTTTTTTATGTGCCAAAGGACGAAAAATGTGAGAAAAGCATGGCAAGCAGCTTTAAGGAGAAACGATATAACTATCAACTCAAAACAAGCCATATGCCATCATCACTTTTTAAGTAGTGATATTTTGTGGAAACGTGAAATTTGTATGAGAAGGGAAATGTTCTTGGTGTGGTAAGTTACGTTAGTTATCTAAGTTATTTTTCCATTTGCTTAATTTACACCGATCATTTAATACTGATATAATATTCATCAAAAAAACTATTATACTAGTTTAATAAAACCATTTTTACATGCATAAATTAAAATTATTAAATAGAAAGTTACTATTTAGTACAAGTATTAAATAATCAGTATAAAGTAGGCAATATAGTCAATAATGTTTAATAATTTATATATATATAACAGCAATATTCACTTGTTGACTTATTAAATAATAGTCATTTAAATTAACAATTATGTAAGTTTATACTTGTCATTATTAATTGTCATATTGTAAATATTTTCTTTAGTCTGTGCCATTTAAAATTCAAGGCTAAGTAAAGGGATTGTGCCTTCACAATTCCCCTGGTTTGAAGAAACCCCAAATATAGAAGATACATATTCTATACATATTGATCAAAATGTACACAACCTACATATTGAACAACATGAAGAAAATGAACATGTGATAGTACCATCATTAAATAATGCAATAGAGGATCGTACGACAATGGTATTATTTGATAGCTTAATAGATAGTATAAACAGAAAACAGTTTAATATGCCAAGTCAATGGATGCACATACAATATTGCAGTAATGACACACGATTATTGATATTTTTTTTAGCAACATGCAACAAAATAGAAAATTATAATGACAGATATTCATTTAACCCTATCAAAGAAGTCATACTCAAAGAAGATATGACATTACAAATAAATGTCTTAAAGCAACCTGTTTTAAATATTCCATCGCACATACAGATTTATAATAATATAAATAGAATAGAACTGCTACAAGAGACATTATTTTCTTTTGATAGCCTTGACATATGTTGTGGTACAAATAAAAGTGAGATTAAAGATGTTGAATATAATGAAGCTTTTAAAGATATTAATGGTATATGGAGACACAAAAAATGTTTATTACTTTCATCCCAGAAATGTAAATTTTGTGCCATTGCAAACAAATCTATAAATCAAAAATACCGTCGGAGAAAAATAATGAAATCAATTAAAAAAATAAAAATAGCTGTATCAAAACAGAAAAACAAAAGAAAATTTTATTATTACGCAAACGATATTATAAAGCACAAAAAGCAAAAAATAGAGCTAAATATATATCAAATAAATTGAGAAAAGAACTTGCAGATAATATGATGAAAGTAAAAGAAATTTCAATAGAGAACATAAAAGACCAATTAAAAGAAACACAAATTTCTCAACATCAGTTAACTGCAATACAAGAAATAATAAAAGCTGCGAAACATACAAATATTAAAGGTCACAGATATAGTGAAGATTGGATACTATTATGTATGTTATTACGTATGAAGTCACCTAAAGCTTATAACTTTTTAAGAAAAAACAAAATACTACCCCTTCCATGTATTAGAACTATGCAAAGGTAATATACGTACATTTTTTTATTATTTTAATATAATTTCTACTTAGAAATATGTATAATATGGTATGAGTATATGGCGATTTTTATATAACAATGCAATATATGAATTGGTTTTAGATATATTTCACTTATTGATACACCATGCGGTTTCGACACAAAATTTTTTGAGATGTTTAAATTAGCATTGGAAAAAAAAAGAAGAGAGACAAAAACATGGTGTAATTTTGCTCGATGAAATACATCTTAGAGAGTCTGTTAATGTGAACTCTAAGAATCTCACATATACAGGGTTGATTGACTTTGGAAGTGAAAGGATACCATCATTTAATCTTGATGATAAAGCAGACCATGGATTAGTAATAATGTTTCAGCCACTTGCAGATTCTTATTCCCAACCAGTAGCAGTGTTTGCTTCCAAGGGGCCTGTATCAGAAGAAGTACTTGCGCAACTAGTAATTAAGGTATATACAATATGCAGTGCAAATATTTTTATATATATCATATTTTTCTCATAATTCAACAAAAAATTGCTAAATATGTAATATGCTTCATACTGTTTTTATTTTTTTCATATCATAGGCTATTGCATTATTAGAGAATATCAATGTTAAAGTCCATGGTGTAATTACTGACGGTGCTGCAACTAATAGAAAATTTTGGAATATTGTAGGTGTATCTGGAAAAAAAGATGATTTAATTAATGTTTTTAATCACCCTACTGTAAACGGACGTTATATATATATGTTATACGTTATATGTATTCTCAGATACACCACACCTTATCAAAACTATTAGAAATCGATTATATAGTACATCATTACAGGTAAAATAATAAATCAATTTTTATGTGGTTGTGTGTTACTTCGTGCATAATGTACTATTAAGGGAGATTTCGGAAAATCGAAGTATTATTATTATTTTTCTCAAAAATAGCGAATTTCTCTTATATTTCATTTAGCTTTTGACGTTATACCGCGTCCGTTTTGATTTGTTTTTGACGTTTTGTGAACCTTTTACTTCATTATTTGAAAATGAGGGTCAATTTGATATTCTGTATATTCAATATAAAATCGATCCTTATTCTAAGAAAGTGAAATGAAATTCTCACGAATTCTCACGAATCGTCAAAAATAAATCCACAAAGAATGCGGCGCAAAGTTGGAAACCAAGTCAAATATTTATTCACAATGCGAAAATTTAAAATATTTAATCTCTTTCGTTTTTATTTTTAGCTCAATCCTGATGAAAAACATCAAATGGGATTATTTCCGAATATTACATAATAAAGATAAATCGCTACCAGCTCTAATACGAATATGTCCAAAAATAACAACCAATCATTTAATACTTACTAACGCAGCTAAAATGAGAGTTCGTCTAGCTACTCAAGTAAAACATCTTAACAGTATTTTATTTAACGTTTTAACAGATTATTTAATAGAACAGTCCAATAGTTTACAAAATATATCTTTATATAAACGCCATTGTTATAGGTTTTTAGTAAATCGATGTCTCATGGATTGAGATTTTATAAAAATTTCTTACCTGAATTACAAGAATGTGATAACACTGCTTTTGTGAATAGATAAATAACTTATTTGATGCACTAAATCGAAATAAAGTTTCTGAAGGTTTGACTGTTGAAAACACGGACTACAAAGTAAATTAAATATTTTCAATTAGTTAATAATTGTTTTGTAATTTATATTCGTTTTTTGTTTATATATTTATATATTTTGAAGAAGCTAATATTATGCTAAACGTTCAATTTCTTAATAGATTTTAGGGACATCTCTTGAAAAACTAGATGCTTGGGAGCAACATGTCCTTGATGGTACTATTAAAGAGGAAAATTTTTTAACGAGACAAACTGCTGAAGGTCTTCGCGTGACGATAAAATCAACATTAGATATAATAAAATATTTAACGACAAATGCTGGTTTTCCCTCTGTTTTAACAGGCCGCTTGAATCAAGATTCATTCGAGGTTTGATAACAAAGCTCATATTTCAGTAATCATAATGTTACATGTAACATATATATGTTAGTTAAAATTTCCTACTTAACATGTAAATGTTATATAACACACATGTTACATAATAGCTACATTGTTGAGTAGGAAATTTTAATTAACATGTACGTTGCATGTAACATCGTATTTGCTGGGATATATCTCTAGGTAACAGAATGACATCTAAAGACATCTTAATGATATATTATTGACATTAAAGGCGTCATTAATAAATTATTAATGTCACTTGATGTCATTTTGTTGACTGGATATATATATGTCTATATATGCAAACATTTAATTATGAAAGACATATGTATATATATATCCAATCCTAACATTATTTACATGCTTAGAACATCTTTGGGTCGTCCCCAGGAAAACCTTGCACTGTTAGAACAGTATATAAAAAAACATTAGATCATCTTAAAATATTGATTATAAAATCAATCCATCAATTCACGTTTTTGAACATATGTTTCTTGAATGTTTCGTTTCATATTTTTAAAATATTTTCAGATATTAATGTGTGTATGTGTGTATATGTATTTGTGTGTGTATATTCTATGATATATTTAGAAATATATACAATACATTTTAGAACTATGACAAGAAATATTTAATTTTTCGTAATACCTTTGAACGTTTATTATAAGAAATATTTAAAACATTATTTTTATTATAAGTTAGTATTAATATGTTTCTATATATTGTTCCATAGAGATTTTTTGGTTCAATAAGACAAGCAGCAGGATCTAATGACTATCCCGGAATCCCTACCTTTCTCCAACCATATAAAATTTTGAGTACTTCAAGCATCCTTGAGCCTCCATGTTATGGAAATTGTTCTATTGCAGATAGTACAAAACCTATAATTTCTATATCTGATATAAAACAGTTATATGAAAAACCAGATAAATCCTTAACAAAATTAAAAGACAAGTTGGATCATGCTGTTAAATACAGCGAATGGATTCTTGATGATATAATAATAGATCATGACTATCATCTACCTGAAATAACTGATTGTATCGTCTATTATACAACGAGATATTTATGTAATTATATTTTAAAATTTACAAAGTGTGATATATGTAAGAACGCTATTACTGATCCCATAGCATGTAGCCTTTTTCCTGCGGCGCTGTTAACAAATATCAAAACTGATGGTCGTTTAACACATCCAAATTTAAACATGTTTAAATTTATAATTTACTTAGAAAGCTTATTTTCAAAATATTGTCATCGTGCTGATGTATATGAGACCATTATAGATAATATTTATATAGAAAATTTGTCTTTTCCATGTAAAGAACATGGTGATGCTATTTTAGCAAAAATAATCGAATTTTACATCTGTATGCGCATGAAGCAATATTGTCATAAAATTAATAATGTGAAAAAGAAACAAAGTCAAAATATTTAAAAAACTGCGAAATATTATAAAAATTAAATAAAAAATATCCTAAAACAACAAAAATACTTTATTATTTATGTACCTACCTTATTTTATACTATCTATTTTATTTTGTGTTATACATTTTGATTATATAATTATAAAGAAATATATATATATTTATATTTTTATTAATTTATATATATATATATTATTATGGATCAAACATCTATAGTAAGAATTCGTAACATATACATATAAATTTGTATTATGCTATTGTGAAAAAAGCGAATGGACTTTCAATAAGTTCATAATAAAGTATTATTATCTACCTGAAATTACAGATTGTATTATCTATCATATAACAGTATATTTATGTAACTACATATTAAAATTTAGAAAGTGTAACATATGTAGGAACGCATTTACTGGTCCTATATCATATAACCTTTTTCCTTTAACATTACACATATATACTAACTGTGTTGACTGTTGCCAGCGCCGCGACTTCAATAAGTGGACACCTGAAACTACGTGAAACGGGGGGCTGACTTGAACTGCATTTTCAGAACTAGAACTGACGAGTAGTACCAGCAGAGAGAAACCTGAGAGTCAATCAGCGAGAGGCAATCAACGAAGGTTCAGAAATTTTTATGAATTCGACGTGCCCCTTGAGAAAATAGACGTCAACTACGTCGATGTCGCTCGGTAACGAGTGTCTGTGATAATTTGGTTCATATCTGAGCTACTATACAGGATATAGTAAAAATTATATATATATCATCAGGAGGAATCATCCCAGCAAACACAATAAGCCTGTTCGTTTTGTCTGCACTGCTGAACTGATGCAACAAATTGAAGTGAGAAAACTTACGTTTGTCTCACTTTAACTTAATGCACCAGTTCAGCAATGCAGACAAAACGAACAAGCCTAACATTATATGTAACGTGCATGTTAGTTGTAATCTCCTACTTAACAATATAACTGTTACATAACATATGTGTTATATAATAATTATGAACTAAGATCTTTATCAGTTTTCTTTCAGTATGTATAACAGTCAAGATATGATGAGCAAAATAATTATTCGATAGAATTATAAATAAGATTATCGAATTTGAAATACTGGGCAAAGCCCCTCTCCCGCTTATATGTACGGTCGCGGAAATAAAGGTTGTCACTTTTTTTTTTAATGACTTTCGGGACGCATCCCGACTCGAGAAAGATGAGAGCTGCTGCTCCGCCTGCAGAACACGCCTGCGCAGTAACTCACAACGAAATGCGAGAAATGAAATATATGTGGTATGACATAATTACACTCAAACGCAAAAAACCCGGTACACTAAAAATTTGGGAAAAAATTACAAAATTTCAAATGATCATAACTTGGTAAATAATGAAGATACAAATATGCGCAGAAATGCAAAATGAAGCTTGAAACGTCCTCTTTAAGAATATCTGAATGGCAATTATACTCGGCCATTTTTTTCAAAATGGCGGATGATAAAGTGAGAGGATGCAAAATTGATAATCAAAGGTCCGTGTTTGCGATGGTGCATGGTGTGCATCAGGTATCGCAGCGTAATGGGACCAAATGCACATGAAAGTATAGAGTGTTATCTTTAAAATGCTACTTTACCGAGCTCGATGTGATCATTTTTCACTGAGTTGTTCCAAATTTTGCTAAAAATGCGGTTTTCTTGTTAAATTTGCATAATTCAGTGAATAAGTATCGCATCAAGCTCTATAACGAAGTATTTTAAAGAAAACATTCTATACTTTTAGGTACTTTTCGTCCCATTGAGCTGCGACACTTACTTTGCTCCATGCGCCGTCGCACACTCTAACCTTTTTTTAGCAACTTTTCATGTTCTCCTTTTTATCACCCGCCATTTTGAAAAAATATCGTTGCGCACAATTTCGATAGATCTTTCGAAAAGTGCGGTTTCAAAGCTTTCAAACCGTTTTTGAAATTTGCTGCTAGGATATTTAGGTGTCGAGATATTCAATTTCGAATTTGCAACAAATGTCGATTCAGCGAGGCTTAAGGGGCTAAGAGACTCTGCGGTTCGTTTGGCTCTTTCATAATTTCAATAGCCGCGTTCATTATTCTTTATACAATAATTTACACAATTTTGCGAATTGGAAATTTAATTTTTATCAAAAGTTATCATTCTTTACCCTTCAGTTACGCATGATCACTGTGGTATACACTTTAGTTCGCGAAGCTGTCCCTAGCTCTCTACCTTCTCCGTACGATTGGCCATTATGGTACACAGCTTGAATATGCTGTTCAGGATCGCGCCTGAGTTCGCGGTGACCCGGCGCGTGGGATGCTGAGTCGCTGGACGCCACCTGAACGTCGAAATTCCCTGGCGCTCCTAGTCCAGGGAGCCGCCGCGACGCGGCGATTTGGGTTGTCGCGCGCGCGAGCCCCTCGGCTCGCACGAGAGTTCGAGCTGCCCAGGGCGTATAAGAGTGCCCGCGGAGACGATCAGAGATTGCCTTCGTACAGCTTTTGGCCTTCGTACGGTCCACCGCCGATAGTGGCACTATCTCTTGTACGCTGGACTTCGCGAGTTTGTCAGTACGCCGGGCTTACGTTCTGGCTTGACTGAGATTCCGTCGGTGCACCGGGCTTTAACGCCTGGCTTGACTGGATTTTTCTTAAATGTATGTGCCAAGACAATAAACAAAGACAAACAATTTTCCTTTTCCGAACGTGTTCACTCCGATAAGCGCTGCCTCGTGCGACTTTTCTTTTTCCGTGATCTTTTCCTTTCGAGGCGCGTTGCTTCGTGCAACTTCATCAATTTAAACCATAATTGATTGTTTCGCATCGAAATTATTGCGTCGATTATGGCGACGATAAATCCTGAAAAGGCTGCTCAAGTTATTGCTTTAATTGAAGATGGCAGAAGTCGAAGGTACGTTGCTCAGGCACTTGATTTGTCAGTGTCAACTGTGCAACGTGCTTATGCCAGGTACTTACAAACCAATTCTTTCCATAGAAGGCCTGGTTCGGGACGTCCTCGATGTACCAATCACAATGATGACCGATTTATTGTTTCAAATTCGTTAAGAGACAGACATCGAACATCTGTTCAAATTAGAAACAATTTAAGGGATGTCCGCAACATTAATGTATCCGTTAACACCGTTCGGAGAAGATTAAAGGAACAAAATCTGCTTTCGCGCAGGCCAGCAGCTGTACCTTTGCTTAAATGTCACCATCGCGTAGCTCGACTCAATTTTGCAGTTGAGCATAGAGACTGGACTTACGCAGACTGGAGCAAAGTACTCTTTAGCGATGAATCTCGTTTTTGTGTCTATTCTCCAGATGGACGAGAACGATTTTATCGTCGCGGTGGAGAACGAGAACAAGAAAACCGCATTTTTAGCAAAATTTGGAACAACTCAGTGAAAAATGATCACGTCGAGCTCGGTAAAGTAGCATTTTAAAGATAACACTCTATACTTTCATGTGCATTTGGTCCCATTACGCTGCGATACCTGATGCACACCATGCACCATCGCAAACACGGACCTTTGATTATCAATTTTGCATCCTCTCACTTTATCATCCGCCATTTTGAAAAAAATGGCCGAGCATAATTGCCATTCAGATATTCTTAAAGAGGACGTTTCAAGCTTCATTTTGCATTTCTGCGCATATTTGTATCTTCATTATTTACCAAGTTATGATCATTTGAAATTTTGTAATTTTTCCCAAATTTTTAGTGTACCAGGTTTTTTGCGTTTGAGTGTATGAGAATATCATATGAAACAGATATATTACTAAAATAGTTTAAATCTTTATCAATATTTTTAGATTTCCAAAAAATCTGGAACATCGTACAAAATGGGTGAAAGCATTGAAAAATGTGGCCATAAAAACAAATAGCACTGTATGTCAAGAACATTTTAATGAAACCTGTATGTACAAAACTGGATTGTCATCATTACGGTTGTACGAAGGATCTGTACCATCTATATTTCCACATGTTTCTAATTTAAGGTAATATTACTAAAATTGTTAATACTTTTAAACTATAATAATACCACTTTCATACAAACTTTATACAAATAAAAAAAAATTGTTAATAGCATAACAGAAAGTATACACTGTAACGAAAACAATAATGCATCTTCTGAAGTATTGTTGGAAGATGAATCAACAATTGGTTCTCATCAAGGACAAATACAAGATGATATGACATATTCAACAAAAACCAATACTGTGGCGTCAAATGATAAATGTTTAATAAGATATCCAGGAGATATTACAACCGAAAAAGTGGCAAACATGTCGTCAAGTAGTTTAAGGAAGTACGTTACTATATTAAGAAAGAAATATAATGCTCAACAGATTGCAATGAATCGTTTAAGATCTCAAGTATATAGTCAGAAGAAAACAATTGAGCGTTTAAAACAGTTGTTCACTGCTCTAAGAAAAAATAATCTTATTTCCTCTAATGCTGAGCAAGTATTACAGGTAATTAAAACAGATACTCCTTCACTACATATACTTGAATCGTATTGTAAAACCCTTTATAGGTTGAAATACATAAATGGCCAAAATAGGTATTTGAAAATACAAAATGCAAAATAGGTATTTTACAAATGCTTTTCCAAAATTATGTATTTTATATACAGGGTGTTTGATAGCTGATCATGCAGACGAAAGTTGGAGATCGATTGGGTGTAGCCGAGAAGAAAAGTCATGTACCATAATGTCAAATTGGCAATAGTTATCGAGTTATTAATTAAAATATGTGAGCCAACGAGCGCGTAGAGAGCGGAGGGCGGCCGCAGTAAGCACGTAGACATTTGATACAGGCGGAGTCAGTGAGTGACGGTAGGCAAGCGCGCGCAGCGAGGGGCAACGTAAGCGACAAGAGGCGATCGCGCGTGACGAGGAGCGAGCGAGCTTTTTCTTTATAGCTTTTTCCTTATAGCTCGCTCGCTCTTCGTCACACTCGCTCGCCTCTTGTCGTTTGCGCTCGCTCGCTCCTCGTCGCGCGCGTTCGCCTCTTGTTTACGTTGCCTCTCGCCGCGCGCGCTCGCCTACCGTTACTCGCTGACTCCGCCTGTATCAAATGTTTATGTGCTTACTGCGGTCGGCCTCCGCTCTCTACGCGCTCATTGGCTCACATGTTTTAATTAATAACTCGATAACTATTGCCAATTTGACATAATGGTACATGACTTTTCTTCTCGGCTACATCCAATCTATCTCCAACTTTCGTCTGCATGATCAGCTATCAAACACCCTGTATATAAGCACATATATGTATATATAAAATACATAATTTTGGAAAAGCATTTTTAAAATACCTATTTTGCATTTTGTACTTTCAAATACCTATTTTGGCCATCTCTACAGAAATATATGTATATATTTATGAGCCATTCCATATTTTTATGTTAATATGGGAATCGCTATGTATGTGTGGATGGAGTGAGGCCCAGATGCGGACAGAATAAATCGGACACAGTAACAATCGGACACAGAATAAATCGGACACAGTAACAATCGGACACAGTAACTATCGGACACAGTGACAATCGGACACAGTAACAATCGAACATAGTAACTATCGGACACAGTAACAATCGGACACAGTATCTATCGGGCACAGTGAGAAACGGACACAGTAGGATACGTGCTCCGTACATGTTAATAGTACATGTATGAGCGGGGGGCTCCGCACCCCCCTGCACCCGGGTTTCGCCCGTTCCCCTCACCCCCCGCCCAGTAAACCTTTTGCCAGTAAAGGTATATTATATGATATTAATGGTAACGAAATTAATTGGGACTTTATTGTTAAATTACTTAAATATCAAGAAGAAAATCATTTTCATTTAGCAAATAAATTAACAAGGAAACATATTCAGTGGCAAGAGAATAAAATGAATGTTAAGTTAGCAGTACAAACATTGAGCAAAAGTGTTGCAATTGCTTTACAGCAGTTGGAAGAAGATAATATGAAAGACTTCGTTGGCAGCTCAGCTACAGTTCAATTTATTATGATTATGAACGATATTTTTGATATTTGAAATTCTCGCAGTTTATATTCTTATGGGTATAAACAGCTATTGAATCCACAAACATTTAATAATGTAATCTCATTTTTCACAGAAGCAAAATTATATTTGTCGAACATTAAAATCAAAGTTTCTACAGAGAATTATAAAAAAAATATAAATGATAAGATGAATATTCTACAAACCAAAAGCAAAACGGGTTTCTTAGGACTGATTAATAATATGGAAAGTTTCGAAAATATCTATAGAGAATATGTTGAAAAAATAAAATGAAGTACATAATGACTTATAAATTTTCGCAAGACAACTTGGAGATTTTATTTTCTTGTATTCGATCCATAGGGGGATTTAATAATAATCCGAATGCTATACAATTCATCGCAGCTTTTAAACGACAACTCCATCATAATGAAGTGAAATCTTCTGCAGCAGCCAATTGCATTGCACAAGACACAACAAATATACTTACAATATCATCACGAAAATCTGTAGCACATTCAAATGTTGCTAATATTAATGATGTTTGTGATAGTGATGAAGAAGAAAATTTAATGATATCTGATTTTATTAATAATATTGAAGGCAAAGAACATGCTATCATTTATATGTCAGGCTTTGTCGAACGAAAATTATTAAAAAAGATTACTTGCGAAACATGCCTTTATCTTTTTAACGAATGTACAGTTATGAAGTCTACATTCATAGAAAGAAAAAGTTGTGGATATTTACATTATCCACGAGAAGATACATATAAACTCATTGTTGCCGCTGATAAAGTTTTTAATTTTTATAAATTACAGAATAATTTGTATAAGAAAAATGCATGCCAAGAAATAATTATAAAAACAATACGTAATATTGATATGGATAAGGTATTTATAAATTTTAACAACCACGTTAATGAGTTAGACGTTTTCGAAAATCACAAATATTATTTAATTAAATTAATTATAGAATGTTATATACAGATTCTTATGAATTATGAAGGGAAATTAATGAGCCAAAATATTGAGTACATCAGACATCAGTTTACAAAAATTATTTTATTCAAAGGTCAGTAATATCTTAACAAATATGGAAAATGTAACGTTTTTTTTTACATTAATAACAAAGTTCTATTTTTATTTATGTTATGTTTAACATATATATGTTATGTGATGCTATGTTTAACATATATATGTTATGTGATGCTATGTTTAACATATATATGTTATGTGATGCTATGTTTAACATATATATTTTTATTTTTATTTATATATAAATACTAATTGTTATTGTATAAAAAAGATTTTCATAACATAAACTATATAACTAATGTAATTTTTATTATATACAGCATATTTTATTTATGTTCTTTATATTTTCCTTTCCTTATAAATTCATGATCGCAAATAAGTATCTTTTTAATGGTAAAACAGGAATGAAAAGTGCGATGATAGTTCTAATAATGGCCGTGTTTGGTACTGGCGGCGCTGCAGATGTTTATAGATGCCCAAAGTCATTGCTAGCAGTCCATAGTTATATAGTCAAAGGAAGAAAGCGTGAACAGTAAGAAATGGACCAACCATAGTTGATTATTTTTGTCATAATCGACTGTGATTGGTTTATTTCTTACCGCTTATACCTTGTCTACAATAGAAGTCGTAGAATCATAAGTCGTAGAAATTGACCAATCATAGTCCGGTAAGAGAAAAATAATCGACCGCGATTGGTCAATTTGTACGACTTACGACTCTACGCCTTCTATTGTAGACGAGGTATTACGCTTAAAGCCAGCGGCACACGGTGCTTGTTTTCGTGCTGGATTGCTTGCTGGATGAAAATACTGCGTTCTGATTGGTGCATTTCCATTCATCATCGGAAACGTACCAATCAGAACGCAGTATTTTCATCCAGCATGCAATCCAGCACGAAACAAGCACCGTGTGCCGTTGGCTTTACTTCTTACTGCTTACTGCCATTGGCCACGTTCAGTAAAACAAAGTGATCAGAGAGCGCTTAGTGATTATTGTCTGTGATTGGAGCATTCTTTTAGATTCTTCATAAACCCAGAAGTATTTATCAATCAGGAGCGAGATTCAGTGGAAAATCTAGTAATGTCCAACTGTTGAGTCTGTTGAATGCAGCCATTGTAGACCACGCTTTAAGGTGCCTTTACATGGTAGCGTCGAGCGTCGAGCGTCAAAGCGTCCAACCAATCAGTTTTTCATTTCTTATTTCAGGGATAAAAACAAGAAACTTTGATTGGTTGGACGCTTTGACGCTCGACGCTCGACGCTCCCATATAAAGGCACCTTTATAGGATGGCCTTTTTGGTACTCAAAGATACGATATATGAAAAGTTATCGTATTACTAGATATTATTGTATGATATTAATTAATAAACTTAACGAACTTAATAAACGTACTCGGAACTGCGAAGGTAATACACATATGGTGATATACATGTTGTGTATGTGACATTTTAGAACATAAATAATGATACCAAATGTAAGCATTAGAAATTCAATGTTTTTACTAATTTTGTTTTGTTATTTATATTTATAATAAAATTAGCGTTAAGCTATATAACAAGAAAATTAGAAATAAACAATTCTATAAGTGCTCATTAGCCTAAAATGAAAAGAAAGAGAGAGATCACGAATAAACAACATAATCGAAAATTAACCTCTGATGAAAATATATTAAACAATCGTAAGGAAAGGTAAATGAATATTTACAAAATTTCTATTTAGAGATAGTATTAAAGATTAATACATGTTGTAAATTAGTGTAGCAAAACTTGCGAGTTTTGTAAATACTTCTGCAAAGAAAGATGTCACAAATGAACCAGTACATAAAATGAGTAGACAAGGTATTAGAAGATCTCTGCGAAACAGTACAATTATTATAAACGACAGTGAAAATGAGTCAAGTGATAAAGAAGCAACAAACAATTCGGTTATTGAATGTAGCCCACACATAAGTAGACCACCTTTACAACAATCATCTTCGCTCAAACAAAAAAGACAATTGAATACTTTAAAGCCAAGAACGAGGTCAAGTGTGATATTACTAGATAATGATTCATCCTCTGCTTCTTCAGATATACAAACTTCTTTAGAAAAAAGAAATATAAATGGAGAGAATATAGGTATTTCCTCTTCTTTTCTTTTTCATAAAATGTTAATAAAGTATTATTTAATTGAATATCATTCTTTTTTCTTCTTAAAATGAATATTTTTTTCTTTAGCACCATCACAAATAGAAGATGATGTTGTGGAATTGTGGTCATGCCTGGATAAGTCAACCAAGAAAAATAAAATATATAAAACATGTAAAAATAACTTAAAAATAGAGGACACCTTTATAATTGATAGGAAACCAGACTTGACGAATCTTGAAGATTTAGAAATAAACACAACTCCTGTATGTAATAAATAGACAAAATGTTATTTTTTATAATTAAAATTTATTAAAAAATTTGATATTTGTGATATAGGAATTGGTGCATAAAAAACGAAAAATACAGATAAAAGATCAGTCCACTAAATATACCAATAAATATAACAATAAGAAAAGTAAAAAGAAAAAGAAGTCAAATGGGAAGCATAAAGAAGCATTGAGAGAAATAGTCATCGATGGATGTAATGTAGCAATGGCGTATGTTTCTGTTATTTTATCTTTGTTTCTTTATATATACATATTCAATTTGCAAAACAAAATCACATTATCTTATCAATAAACTTAATTTTTTTTAGTAAAAATACATGTTGCAGTGGTAGGAATATATATATATATATAGGTAGTAATTATAATTAAATATATTCTATACAAGAAATTATAAAAATTACATTTTCAATGTATTCTTTGTGCCTTTTGCTTTCTTATAATTCATGTTTCAGTCATACGAATGGTCGCGAGTTTTCGGAAAAGGGCATAAAGTTAATGGTGGATTATTTTGAATCAAGAGGCCACATTGTAAAAGTTTTTTTACCACAACACGTTCGACGGAGAAGGTATCAGCTTCTTGAAGAAATGTATACAGATGGCATAGTTGTTTTTACACCGAGTCGAAATATCGAAGGCAAACGAATAACGCCCTATGATGATAGGTAATTTTTAGATTTTATAATTAGAATTTATAAAGTTAAATAATAAGACGAATAAATACATACATCACATTTATATATCACTTACTAAAAATATCTTAAGACTTAATTTTACATAATTGGAATATATCTACAAAGTAATAAAAAGTTGAATAAAAGCTGTTTTCTTCATTATTATTTATTACAGATTCATCCTGGAATATGCAACTAAATGTGGAGGAATAGTTATTTCTTCTGATCAGTATAGAGATCTGTATAGAGAAAAACCTGAATGGCGTGATACGATCCTGAATCGTTTGCTAACGCCGACATTTGTCGGTGATATCATTATGTTCCCAGAGGATCCAATGGGTAGAGGTGGACCTAATCTCCATACATTCTTAAGACACTAATTAACTTTTGTTATAGCATATATTTGGATATTTCTTTTTTTTCTCCGTTTTTATGCCTCCTTCGTATATACCTCGAGTAAAGGAACAAGGGAAAAATTAATACTTTTCTTTCTTCTAAGATTTATGCGATAGTATTTTTCGAAATATATATACAATTGAGAAATTTGTGTATTATTGGAAGAAGAAAGAACTTCAATCTATAAAAATTTTCAGATTTGTAAACATTTTCAAAATCGTTTATATTCAATTGTAAATATCATTCTTTAATTACGAAAATACTAGTTGCTGCATTTATTTTGCTATGTAGGATCTACATCGGAGAAAAAGTCGAATTTAGCATAAAATATATAAATTTTATAACTTAAGCATAATGTATTATGTAAAATGTATGTATGTACAAGTGACGATAGTATCGCACATTAATATGTTGCAGAAACTTATTTATTACTAAAAAAAACCTAAGTTATTACATTGTACAATACATACGGTAATCATACATGCGTATACAATATGAACATACCTCTTAAAAAAAAAAAAAATAAAAAATACATACAAACCTTTTGAAGTAATATATTCGTAGTTTCTCCACAGCCTTGACTTGAGACGTAAAAGTCATGAAATATACAATTATATAAATAAAGTTTACAAAAAATGAAAATATTGATATACCCTAAACTTTTGTTTAAAAAATATAATCTATGCTGGTCTCCAGCACATCCTTCCTGACTGACGCACAAAGCCCATACTTTCTTGCGCTGATTCGCGTGCGAAACGTTGCATCGTGTTCTCGTTATCGCTGTTGTAGCGCGTGTTCGATAATACTGCTTCGTGCTTAAATGCTGAGCTGACGGCTAAAATACAAATACGAAACTTACAGTCAAAGTAATTTAACTTAATAAAAGCTTAAACAAATGTTAATTACGTGATCCAGTGAAATAAAATTTTTTATATCGAGACATAATGGTTATATATAATATTGATTTATACGAGATAAAAATGTTTTAAATACTATTTTTTAACCACTTCGTTGGCATTAAGAAATAGCATCAACTGACCCAAAATGGCAACGTATAAATCATGCTTGATTTTTATAAACGTCAGTACTAAAATGTTTTTCGAGTAGCTGAGTACGAATTTGAGGTCAAAATATGAAAATTCAAAATAGCGAATCCAAAATAGCGGCCAAAAATGTATCTGATTTTTTATGAAATTCGATATGCAGTTCTCCAAGTTGCTGAATATGAATTTCAAAATTCAAAATAGCAGATCCAATATGGTAGTCAAAAAAAGGAAATTGTGATTATTGTGAAACTCGATATCTAGAGGTTTTTCAGGTTGCTAAAAACGAATTTGAGTTTAAAACTTGAAAATTCAAGACAGTATATGTAATATAGTGCCTAGATTTCTTTTTTAATTTAATAAAGGAATATTTTGGATTCGCCATTTCGAATTGCCATATTTTGATCTCAAATTCTTATTCAGTCACCTGAAAAACTCCCAGATATTGAGTTTCATAATAATCAGATTTTTATTTTTTGGTTCGCCATTTTGGATCTGCCATTTTGAATTCCCATATTTTGACTTTAAATTCTTATTCAGTCATCTGAAAAACACTCAGATACCGAGTTTTATAATATAATAATCAGATAGATTTTAATTTTTTTAGTTTGCCATTTTGGATTCTCCATTTTGAATTGTCATATTTTTACCTCAAATTCTTATTCAGTAACCTCAAAACCTTAGAATACCAATTTTTACGAAAATTGGACCAGTCAATAAAAACATAGTGCGTCAATGTCATTTATGGCAAGTCTTTATTTTGACGCAATAGTGCATCAATGTCAATGAAGCGGTTAATACCACTTAAAAGAACGATGATTACTCGATTTGGCGAATAGCTTCCTTAGCACGTAGTCATCGTCGGTGGTCAACACAGATTGCTCGTTTTCACCCGAACGACCTAGGCGACGACCGATCAGACAAGAGATACGTTCACCCTCGAACAGAGCGGAGATGTTTCCTTTCTCTTTCCTTTTGCTCTTCTTACGTTTGCGTGTATGCGACGACTCGACTTTGTTGTCACTCGAAACAGTTTTGCTGTCTTCTTTTTTCGCGATATTGTCATTCGGTATATTCGTTAGTGTTGTATCCAACTCAGAATCGTCCTTAAGTGTACCGTTGTCATTCGCGTCGCCGCTTCTTCTCCTGATATTTGAATCAGCGATGGAATTCACGTCTTCACTCGAAGACTCTTGCATGTTAATTTGCTGAGGGCATAATGTTTCATTCTCGGTCGAATGGCTTTCCGCAGCGGGAGCCTGGTTACAACTCAAATTATTATTTTGTTCTTCGTGTTTGCGTTCGTGAACACCGTCGCTTGTTCCTTTATTTTCATCACGCGTCGGTTTAACGCTACTCGTCGCGCTGATCTTCTTACTGAGTGCCGACGCCAGTTCTCTCATCTCCTTGATTTTGCTGAGAGAAAAGCTACTGCTTGCGGGTGTCAATTTAGACTCTTTGAACAAACGATCAGACTCCGAAGTCTCGCCGTTTGTCGGTTCGTTCAGATTGAATAGCTCTACTAGATCTGATGTCTTAAACAGTCTGCGTTGACGAGGCTCGTCGAGAACTTTATTTGACAACAGCAGTTTGAAGATTTGCCTGTGATACATCTAAAAAGAGATAAATCGAGCTAGACAGGCTAAACAAGAGGAATACTGCTGCATTAATATTAACTTATCTTACATCTATATACTTTACCATTTGTTATCATTTTAATCTTATCTTTTTAATACAGTTATATTAATCTTATTTATCTTTACTATTCTTTATCGCTACTAATTATTTTTACTAATTATTTCTCTATTTTATCATTACCTTTTCTTCAATAGTACCGGCGGTGATCAATCTATATATTGTGACTTGCTTGTTCTGACCTATTCTCCACGCGCGCGCTCTCGCTTGAGCGTCCGTTGCTGGATTCCAATCAGGGTCGTAGATAATCACACGATTCGCGCCGGTCAGATTTAATCCCAAACCTCCTACACGCGTTGTTAGCAAGAAGACAAAATACGAGGGATTCTACAAAGAAACATATGTTGGGAATATATCCTCAATTTCCATTTAAAAGCACTTATATAGTTGACGCATACATTGTTAAACATTTGTATCACATGCTGTCGTTGAGACATCGCTGTCGAACCGTCTAACCTCAAGTAAGTGTATCCTTCATGTTGTAATAAAGATTCCAAAATATGTATCATCTATAAAAGAAAGATTTACATGTCTACTAATAGAGTTTTATACATGGAATAGCATTAGAGGATGATAGTGAAATGTAATATATGTGTTGCATTATGCTAGAGAGAGAGTGAAGAAAAAGAGAGAGGGAGGGAGGGAGAGGCGAGAGAGATGAAGAGGAGAGGGGGAGGGCGATAGGGGAGAGGGAGATGGAAGAGGGGGACGAAGGAGGAGAATCGAAAAATCACGTCTATAGCCATATACCTGTATTCCTTGAGTAAAAAGTAACACTCTGTGCCCCTGTTTCTGCCAAATTTCAAAAAGAGATAGAACCACGGTCATTTTTCCAGCTCGTTCCAATAACCAAACTTCTCCAACAATTCTTCGGAAAGATCAATATCCTCCTCCGAATCCTCCAAAATATACAAATATTAACATTAATAATTATCCGATTATTAGTTCAGAATAATTTTTGTATTAATTGATTTATATTATGATGATCTTACGNTACTTTTAAACTATAATAATACACTTTCATACAAACTTTATACAAATAAAAAAAAAATTGTTAATAGCATAACAGAAAGTATACACTGTAACGAAAACAATAATGCATCTTCTGAAGTATTGATGGAAGATGAATCAACAATTGGTTCTCATCAAGGACAAATACAAGATGATATGACATATTCAACAAAAACCAATACTGGGCGTCAAATGATAAATGTTTAATAAGATATCCAGGAGATATTACAACCGAAAAAGTGGCAAACATGTCGTCAAGTAGTTTAAGGAAGTACGTTACTATATTAAAAAGAAATATAATGCTCAACAGATTGCAATGAATCGTTTAAGATCTCAAGTATATAGTCAGAAGAAAACAATTGAGCGTTTAAAACAGTTGTTCACTGCTCTAAGAAAAAATAATCTTATTTCCTCTAATGCTGAGCAAGTATTACAGGTAATTAAAACAGATACTCCTTCACTACATATACTTGAATCGTATTGTAAAACCTTTTATAGGTTGAAATACATAAATGGCCAAAATAGGTATTTGAAAATACAAAATGCAAAATAGGTATTTTACAAATGCTTTTCCAAAATTATGTATTTTATATACAGGGTGTTTGATAGCTGATCATGCAGACGAAAGTTGGAGATCGATTGGGTGTAGCCGAGAAGAAAAGTCATGTACCATAATGTCAAATTGGCAATAGTTATCGAGTTATTAATTAAAATATGTGAGCCAACGAGCGCGTAGAGAGCGGAGGGCGGCCGCAGTAAGCACGTAGACATTTGATACAGGCGGAGTCAGTGAGTGACGGTAGGGCAAGCGCGCGCAGCGAGGGGCAACGTAAGCGACAAGAGGCCATCGCGCGTGAACGAGGAGCGAGCGAGCTTTTTCTTTATAGCTTTTTCCTTATAGCTCGCTCGCTCTTCGTCACACTCGCTCGCCTCTTGTCGTTTGCGCTCGCTCGCTCCTCGTCGCGCGCGTTCGCCTCTTGTTTACGTTGCCTCTCGCCGCGCGCGCTCGCCTACCGTTACTCGCTGACTCCGCCTGTATCAAATGTCTATGTGCTTACTGCGGTCGGCCTCCGCTCTCTACGCGCTCATTGGCTCACATATTTTAATTAATAACTCGATAACTATTGCCAATTTGACATATGGTACATGACTTTTCTTCTCGGCTACATCCAATCTATCTCCAACTTTCGTCTGCATGATCAGCTATCAAACACCCTGTATATAAGCACATATATGTATATATAAAATACATAATTTTGGAAAAGCATTTTTAAAATACCTATTTTGCATTTTGTACTTTCAAATACCTATTTTGGCCATCTCTACAGAAATATATGTATATATTTATGAGCCATTCCATATTTTTATGTTAATATGGGAATCGCTATGTATGTGTGGATGGAGTGAGGCCCAGATGCGGACAGAATAAATCGGACACAGTAACAATCGGACACAGAATAAATCGGACACAGTAACAATCGGACACAGTAACTATCGGACACAGTGACAATCGGACACAGTAACAATCGAACACAGTAACTATCGGACACAGTAACAATCGGACACAGTATCTATCGGCACAGTGAGAAACGGACACAGTAGGATACGTGCTCCGTACATGTTAATAGTACATGTATGAGCGGGGGGCTCCGCACCCCCCTGCACCCGGTTTCGCCCGTTCCCCTCACCCCCGCCCAGTAAACCTTTTGCCAGTAAAGGTATATTATATGATATTAATGGTAACGAAATTAATTGGGACTTTATTGTTAAATTACTTAAATATCAAGAAGAAAATCATTTTCATTTAGCAAATAAATTAACAAGGAAACATATTCAGTGGCAAGAGAATAAAATGAATGTTAAGTTAGCAGTACAAACATTGAGCAAAAGTGTTGCAATTGCTTTACAGCAGTTGGAAGAAGATAATATGAAAGACTTCGTTGGCAGCTCAGCTACAGTTTAATTTATTATGATTATGAACGATATTTTTGATATTTGAAATTCTGCAGTTTATATTCTTATGGGTATAAACAGCTATTGAATCCACAAACATTTAATAATGTAATCTCATTTTTCACAGAAGCAAAATTATATTTGTCGAACATTAAAATCAAAGTTTCTACAGAGAATTATAAAAAAAAATATAAATGATAAGATGAATATTCTACAAACCAAAAGCAAAACGGGTTTCTTAGGACTGATTAATAATATGGAAAGTTTCGAAAATATCTATAGAGAATATGTTGAAAAAATAAAATGAAGTACATAATGACTTATAAATTTTCGCAAGACAACTTGGAGATTTTATTTTCTTGTATTCGATCCATAGGGGATTTAATAATAATCCGAATGCTATACAATTCATCGCAGCTTTTTAAACGACAACTCCATCATAATGAAGTGAAATCTTCTGCAGCAGCCAATTGCATTGCACAAGACACAACAAATATACTTACAATATCATCACGAAAATCTGTAGCACATTCAAATGTTGCTAATATTAATGATGTTGTGATAGTGATGAAGAAGAAATTTAATGATATCTGATTTTATTAATAATATTGAAGGCAAAGAACATGCTATCATTTATATGTCAGGCTTTGTCGAACGAAATTATTAAAAAGATTACTTGCGAAACATGCCTTTATCTTTTTAACGAATGTACAGTTATGAAGTCTACATTCATAGAAAGAAAAAGTTGTGGATATTTACATTATCCACGAGAAGATACATATAAACTCATTGTTGCCGCTGATAAAGTTTTAATTTTTATAAATTACAGAATAATTTGTATAAGAAAATGCATGCCAAGAAATAATTATAAAAACAATACGTAATATTGATATGGATAAGGTATTTATAAATTTTAACAACCACGTTAATGAGTTAGACGTTTTCGAAAATCACAAATATTATTTAATTAAATTAATTATAGAATGTTATATACAGATTCTTATGAATTATGAAGGGAAATTAATGAGCCAAAATATTGAGTACATCAGACATCAGTTTACAAAAATTATTTTATTCAAAGGTCAGTAATATCTTAACAAATATGGAAAATGTAACGTTTTTTTTTACATTAATAACAAAGTTCTATTTTTATTTATGTTATGTTTAACATATATATGTTATGTGATGCTATGTTTAACATATATATGTTATGTGATGCTATGTTTAACATATATATGTTATGTGATGCTATGTTTAACATATATTTTATGTGATGCTATGTTTAACATATATATTTTATTTTTATTTATATATAAATACTAATTGTTATTGTATAAAAAAGATTTTCATAACATAAACTATATAACTAATGTAATTTTTATTATATACAGCATATTTTATTTATGTTCTTTATATTTTCCTTTCCTTATAAATTCATGATCGCAAATAAGTATCTTTTTAATGGTAAAACAGGAATGAAAAGTGCGATGATAGTTCTAATAATGGCCGTGTTTGGTACTGGCGGCGCTGCAGATGTTTATAGATGCCCAAGTCATTGCTAGCAGTCCATAGTTATATAGTCAAAGGAAGAAAGCGTGAACAGTAAGAAATGGACCAACCATAGTTGATTATTTTTGTCATAATCGACTGTGATTGGTTTATTTCTTACCGCTTATACCTTGTCTACAATAGAAGTCGTAGAATCATAAGTCGTAGAAATTGACCAATCATAGTCCGGTAAGAGAAAAATAATCGACCGCGATTGGTCAATTTGTACGACTTACGACTCTACGCCTTCTATTGTAGACGAGGTATTACGCTTAAAGCCAGCGGCACACGGTGCTTGTTTTCGTGCTGGATTGCTTGCTGGATGAAAATACTGCGTTCTGATTGGTGCATTTCCATTCATCATCGGAAACGTACCAATCAGAACGCAGTATTTTCATCCAGCATGCAATCCAGCACGAAACAAGCACCGTGTGCCGTTGGCTTTACTTCTTACTGCTTACTGCCATTGGCCACGTTCAGTAAAACAAAGTGATCAGAGAGCGCTTAGTGATTATTGTCTGTGATTGGAGCATTCTTTTAGATTCTTCATAAACCCAGAAGTATTTATCAATCAGGAGCGAGATTCAGTGGAAAATCTAGTAATGTCCAACTGTTGAGTCTGTTGAATGCAGCCATTGTAGACCACGCTTTAAGGTGCCTTTACATGGTAGCGTCGAGCGTCGAGCGTCAAAGCGTCCAACCAATCAGTTTTTCATTTCTTATTTCAGGGATAAAAACAAGAAACTTTGATTGGTTGGACGCTTTGACGCTCGACGCTCGACGCTCCCATATAAAGGCACCTTTATAGGATGGCCTTTTTGGTACTCAAAGATACGATATATGAAAAGTTATCGTATTACTAGATATTATTGTATGATATTAATTAATAAACTTAACGAACTTAATAAACGTACTCGGAACTGCGAAGGTAATACACATATGGTGATATACATGTTGTGTATGTGACATTTTAGAACATAAATAATGATACCAAATGTAAGCATTAGAAATTCAATGTTTTTACTAATTTTGTTTTGTTATTTATATTTATAATAAAATTAGCGTTAAGCTATATAACAAGAAAATTAGAAATAAACAATTCTATAAGTGCTCATTAGCCTAAAATGAAAAGAAAGAGAGAGATCACGAATAAACAACATAATCGAAAATTAACCTCTGATGAAAATATATTAAACAATCGTAAGGAAAGGTAAATGAATATTTACAAAATTTCTATTTAGAGATAGTATTAAAGATTAATACATGTTGTAAATTAGTGTAGCAAAACTTGCGAGTTTTGTAAATACTTCTGCAAAGAAAGATGTCACAAATGAACCAGTACATAAAATGAGTAGACAAGGTATTAGAAGATCTCTGCGAAACAGTACAATTATTATAAACGACAGTGAAAATGAGTCAAGTGATAAAGAAGCAACAAACAATTCGGTTATTGAATGTAGCCCACACATAAGTAGACCACCTTTACAACAATCATCTTCGCTCAAACAAAAAAGACAATTGAATACTTTAAAGCCAAGAACGAGGTCAAGTGTGATATTACTAGATAATGATTCATCCTCTGCTTCTTCAGATATACAAACTTCTTTAGAAAAAAGAAATATAAATGGAGAGAATATAGGTATTTCCTCTTCTTTTCTTTTTCATAAAATGTTAATAAAGTATTATTTAATTGAATATCATTCTTTTTTCTTCTTAAAATGAATATTTTTTTCTTTAGCACCATCACAAATAGAAGATGATGTTGTGGAATTGTGGTCATGCCTGGATAAGTCAACCAAGAAAAATAAAATATATAAAACATGTAAAAATAACTTAAAAATAGAGGACACCTTTATAATTGATAGGAAACCAGACTTGACGAATCTTGAAGATTTAGAAATAAACACAACTCCTGTATGTAATAAATAGACAAAATGTTATTTTTTATAATTAAAATTTATTAAAAAATTTGATATTTGTGATATAGGAATTGGTGCATAAAAAACGAAAAATACAGATAAAAGATCAGTCCACTAAATATACCAATAAATATAACAATAAGAAAAGTAAAAAGAAAAAGAAGTCAAATGGGAAGCATAAAGAAGCATTGAGAGAAATAGTCATCGATGGATGTAATGTAGCAATGGCGTATGTTTCTGTTATTTTATCTTTGTTTCTTTATATATACATATTCAATTTGCAAAACAAAATCACATTATCTTATCAATAAACTTAATTTTTTTTAGTAAAAATACATGTTGCAGTGGTAGGAATATATATATATATATAGGTAGTAATTATAATTAAATATATTCTATACAAGAAATTATAAAAATTACATTTTCAATGTATTCTTTGTGCCTTTTGCTTTCTTATAATTCATGTTTCAGTCATACGAATGGTCGCGAGTTTTCGGAAAAGGGCATAAAGTTAATGGTGGATTATTTTGAATCAAGAGGCCACATTGTAAAAGTTTTTTTACCACAACACGTTCGACGGAGAAGGTATCAGCTTCTTGAAGAAATGTATACAGATGGCATAGTTGTTTTTACACCGAGTCGAAATATCGAAGGCAAACGAATAACGCCCTATGATGATAGGTAATTTTTAGATTTTATAATTAGAATTTATAAAGTTAAATAATAAGACGAATAAATACATACATCACATTTATATATCACTTACTAAAAATATCTTAAGACTTAATTTTACATAATTGGAATATATCTACAAAGTAATAAAAAGTTGAATAAAAGCTGTTTTCTTCATTATTATTTATTACAGATTCATCCTGGAATATGCAACTAAATGTGGAGGAATAGTTATTTCTTCTGATCAGTATAGAGATCTGTATAGAGAAAAACCTGAATGGCGTGATACAATCCTGAATCGTTTGCTAACGCCGACATTTGTCGGTGATATCATTATGTTCCCAGAGGATCCAATGGGTAGAGGTGGACCTAATCTCCATACATTCTTAAGACACTAATTAACTTTTGTTATAGCATATATTTGGATATTTCTTTTTTTTCTCCGTTTTTATGCCTCCTTCGTATATACCTCGAGTAAAGGAACAAGGGAAAAATTAATACTTTTCTTTCTTCTAAGATTTATGCGATAGTATTTTTCGAAATATATATACAATTGAGAAATTTGTGTATTATTGGAAGAAGAAAGAACTTCAATCTATAAAAATTTTCAGGTTTGTAAACATTTTCAAAATCGTTTATATTCAATTGTAAATATCATTCTTTAATTACGAAAATACTAGTTGCTGCATTTATTTTGCTATGTAGGATCTACATCGGAGAAAAAGTCGAATTTAGCATAAAATATATAAATTTTATAACTTAAGCATAATGTATTATGTAAAATGTATGTATGTACAAGTGACGATAGTATCGCACATTAATATGTTGCAGAAACTTATTTATTACTAAAAAAAACCTAAGTTATTACATTGTACAATACATACGGTAATCATACATGCGTATACAATATGAACATACCTCTTAAAAAAAAAAAAATAAAAAATACATACAAACCTTTTGAAGTAATATATTCGTAGTTTCTCCACAGCCTTGACTTGAGACGTAAAAGTCATGAAATATACAATTATATAAATAAAGTTTACAAAAAATGAAAATATTGATATACCCTAAACTTTTGTTTAAAAAATATAATCTATGCTGGTCTCCAGCACATCCTTCCTGACTGACGCACAAAGCCCATACTTTCTTGCGCTGATTCGCGTGCGAAACGTTGCATCGTGTTCTCGTTATCGCTGTTGTAGCGCGTGTTCGATAATACTGCTTCGTGCTTAAATGCTGAGCTGACGGCTAAAATACAAATACGAAACTTACAGTCAAAGTAATTTAACTTAATAAAAGCTTAAACAAATGTTAATTACGTGATCCAGTGAAATAAAATTTTTTATATCGAGACATAATGGTTATATATAATATTGATTTATACGAGATAAAAATGTTTTAAATACTATTTTTTAACCACTTCGTTGGCATTAAGAAATAGCATCAACTGACCCAAAATGGCAACGTATAAATCATGCTTGATTTTTATAAACGTCAGTACTAAAATGTTTTTCGAGTAGCTGAGTACGAATTTGAGGTCAAAATATGAAAATTCAAAATAGCGAATCCAAAATAGCGGCCAAAAATGTATCTGATTTTTTATGAAATTCGATATGCAGTTCTCCAAGTTGCTGAATATGAATTTCAAAATTCAAAATAGCAGATCCAATATGGTAGTCAAAAAAAGGAAATTGTGATTATTGTGAAACTCGATATCTAGAGGTTTTTCAGGTTGCTAAAAACGAATTTGAGTTTAAAACTTGAAAATTCAAGACAGTATATGTAATATAGTGCCTAGATTTCTTTTTTAATTTAATAAAGGAATATTTTGGATTCGCCATTTCGAATTGCCATATTTTGATCTCAAATTCTTATTCAGTCACCTGAAAAACTCCCAGATATTGAGTTTCATAATAATCAGATTTTTATTTTTTGGTTCGCCATTTTGGATCTGCCATTTTGAATTCCCATATTTTGACTTTAAATTCTTATTCAGTCATCTGAAAAACACTCAGATACCGAGTTTTATAATATAATAATCAGATAGATTTTAATTTTTTTAGTTTGCCATTTTGGATTCTCCATTTTGAATTGTCATATTTTTACCTCAAATTCTTATTCAGTAACCTCAAAAACCTTAGAATACCAATTTTTACGAAAATTGGACCAGTCAATAAAAACATAGTGCGTCAATGTCATTTATGGCAAGTCTTTATTTTGACGCAATAGTGCATCAATGTCAATGAAGCGGTTAATACCACTTAAAAGAACGATGATTACTCGATTTGGCGAATAGCTTCCTTAGCACGTAGTCATCGTCGGTGGTCAACACAGATTGCTCGTTTTCACCCGAACGACCTAGGCGACGACCGATCAGACAAGAGATACGTTCACCCTCGAACAGAGCGGAGATGTTTCCTTTCTCTTTCCTTTTGCTCTTCTTACGTTTGCGTGTATGCGACGACTCGACTTTGTTGTCACTCGAAACAGTTTTGCTGTCTTCTTTTTTCGCGATATTGTCATTCGGTATATTCGTTAGTGTTGTATCCAACTCAGAATCGTCCTTAAGTGTACCGTTGTCATTCGCGTCGCCGCTTCTTCTCCTGATATTTGAATCAGCGATGGAATTCACGTCTTCACTCGAAGACTCTTGCATGTTAATTTGCTGAGGGCATAATGTTTCATTCTCGGTCGAATGGCTTTCCGCAGCGGGAGCCTGGTTACAACTCAAATTATTATTTTGTTCTTCGTGTTTGCGTTCGTGAACACCGTCGCTTGTTCCTTTATTTTCATCACGCGTCGGTTTAACGCTACTCGTCGCGCTGATCTTCTTACTGAGTGCCGACGCCAGTTCTCTCATCTCCTTGATTTTGCTGAGAGAAAAGCTACTGCTTGCGGGTGTCAATTTAGACTCTTTGAACAAACGATCAGACTCCGAAGTCTCGCCGTTTGTCGGTTCGTTCAGATTGAATAGCTCTACTAGATCTGATGTCTTAAACAGTCTGCGTTGACGAGGCTCGTCGAGAACTTTATTTGACAACAGCAGTTTGAAGATTTGCCTGTGATACATCTAAAAAGAGATAAATCGAGCTAGACAGGCTAAACAAGAGGAATACTGCTGCATTAATATTAACTTATCTTACATCTATATACTTTACCATTTGTTATCATTTTAATCTTATCTTTTTAATACAGTTATATTAATCTTATTTATCTTTACTATTCTTTATCGCTACTAATTATTTTTACTAATTATTTCTCTATTTTATCATTACCTTTTCTTCAATAGTACCGGCGGTGATCAATCTATATATTGTGACTTGCTTGTTCTGACCTATTCTCCACGCGCGCGCTCTCGCTTGAGCGTCCGTTGCTGGATTCCAATCAGGGTCGTAGATAATCACACGATTCGCGCCGGTCAGATTTAATCCCAAACCTCCTACACGCGTTGTTAGCAAGAAGACAAAATACGAGGGATTCTACAAAGAAACATATGTTGGGAATATATCCTCAATTTCCATTTAAAAGCACTTATATAGTTGACGCATACATTGTTAAACATTTGTATCACATGCTGTCGTTGAGACATCGCTGTCGAACCGTCTAACCTCAAGTAAGTGTATCCTTCATGTTGTAATAAAGATTCCAAAATATGTATCATCTATAAAAAGAAAGATTTACATGTCTACTAATAGAGTTTTATACATGGAATAGCATTAGAGGATGATAGTGAAATGTAATATATGTGTTGCATTATGCTAGAGAGAGAGTGAAGAAGAGAAAGAGAGGGAGGGAGGGAGAGGCGAGAGAGATGAAGAGAGAGGGGGAGGGCGATAGGGGAGAGGGAGATGGAAGAGGGGGACGAAGGAGAGAATCGAAAAATCACGTCTATAGCCATATACCTGTATTCCTTGAGTAAAAAGTAACACTCTGTGCCCCTGTTTCTGCCAAATTTTCAAAAGAGATCGAACCACGGTCATTTTTCCAGCTCGTTTCCAATAACCAAACTTCTCCAACAATTCTTCGGAAAGATCAATATCCTCCTCCGAATCCTCCAAAATATACAAATATTAACATTAATAATTATCCGATTATTAGTTCAGAATAATTTTTGTATTAATTGATTTATCATTATGATGATCTTACGAGTTGTCTCGTGTACAAAAACAAATCGGGGTGATTGCATATCTTTCGTAGCGCCGATAACGCGATAAGAAACCTCGCCCTGTATCTTCCGCTCTCGTGATGATTAGTTTTCTCATGTAAGATAAAAGATACATCCTCGGAGCATAAATATTTTTTGTATAGCTTCTTCTGCTCGTCCGTTAAGCTGCAAAATAACACCTAAAAAAATCCATAGATTTATCTCCATTCATAAATAATTATAATTTACGCATATAAAAGTATTTACATACTGATTAAAAATAATATGCAAATAAAAATTTGGACAAGCCATAATACAATTATGTATGAATGCAATTCAAGCTTATTTAAATGTTCACCAAAATTGGTGGATTGTTCCAATTCTCTTTACAATTTTTAGGAAAATAAAAAAAATAATCTATTTAACTACTTCAACTTTAAGTTAAATAGAAGCTGAAAAATCATAACTAAAGTAAAATTTGAACTTAGGTTTTGTACGAATAAAACAAAAGTATTTTGCTATTCGAATAAAAAAGATTTTTTTCCTTTTCTGGAAGCTTGAAAGGACCATAGCAAAATAGGAGAGAAATTAAAATAGAAAGATGTAGAATAGATATAGAACAAAGAGAAAACAGAGAGAAAAGATAGAATAGGTAAAAAGTAATAAAAATAGATAAGAACAGATAAAAACAAATGGCTAAAACTATTTTTTTGACATCTAGAAGAAACGTCTAGCAGACATCTAGAAGAAACGTAAAATAAGATAGTAACGTGTAAAATAATATGATATAGTGAAAAAATAAAGAGAATACTACCTGCTCGTTCTTTTCAGGAAGCGTGAGGTGATGCTTTACATCAGTTTTCGTTCTTCTGAGCAGATAAGGAGTAATGGTATCCTTTAACATAGTAGCTACCTGTAAAGCCGTAGCTTCTTGTAATGGCGTCGCATTGACATAACCGCCACGTGTAATCGGTGACGCACAATGTTCCAAGAACACAGGCAGAGTGCCGAGTTTGCCGGGCAGGATAAAATCGAACAGGGACCATAGCTCCTTCAACGAATTCTGCATCGGACTGCCAGTTAACAATAGACGATGCGGTGTCTGAAGCCGCTTTACAGCTCGGCTTATCTGCAAATTAATCATTTTATATGAATATGAATATATTAATTTAGAATGTTGTTACATATACATATGCATTAAAGTTACGAAAATAATATATTTATTATTAAAGTGATTTTCTATCCTTAAAACTGTTATTATTATTACTGTTTTTTATTTATATATTTTACCTTTACTTGTGGATTGCGAATCGTGTGGCCTTCGTCAAGGATAACATAATGCCATTGGCTAGATATGATTAGATCCTTATGTTTGAGAACACCGTTGTATGAAATAATCAGTATTCCACCAGTTTGTAGAGATTCTATTAAATCTTCCGGGTCTCCTGTAATCAAGAAGTTTATCAACATTGTTCATCGGAAAAATATATAGGATTAATTAAATACTAAGTTAAACCAAAGACACGATTTTACTCAAATAAACGATAACATTATTTAAATCTTTTGCTATAACGATATAATTAATAACTAATAATATATAACTATACTCTATAACTAATATAATAAATATGTTTGTATATATGCAAATTAATAAAAATTATTACTGGGATTATTTATATTTCAATGTTTTTATACTACGATACTTTTATGGTTATTAAAATATAAATTTTGACACATTCACTCTCACCTTTGTAACCACCAGTATGGTGAAGCACAACTACTCTGACAAAAGGCCACCATTCATGAAAATGTTTCACCCATTGCTCCATTAAAGTAACAGGGCATATAACTATAGTGGGGCCTAATCCTCTAAACCTGTCAATTGTGCATGAAATATTAACATTTCAATGGATATACTTATAACATATAAATATTTGTAAAACTCTACAAGCTATATGTATATACCTTCCATTATGAGAGAGCAATTCACTGCAGTCTAAACCTGCAAGGAATGCAATAACTTGTACAGTTTTTCCTAAACCCATTTCATCACCCAATAAACCACCTAGTTTGCGTCCATGTAATTCCCAGAGCCATTGAACTGCAATCTTCTGATATCTGTAACATAGAATTTAAAATTCCTAAAAATAAAGTATATATAATTCAATTATTATTGAAAATAAGTAAATTATTTCAATTCCCTTGAATTATATCATACCTGTACAACCTGTCCCAAATACTTTGTGGTACTTTAAATAAATTATCAAGTTTGTGCATTGCCTTATTTTCGGGATAACTGCTTGCTTCTATTCTTTCCTTGAATACTCGGTTGTCTCCATCATCTCGAGCTAAACAAATAAAAAATAATTATAAATTTAACAATAGAGTAATTAAATTATTAATATAACAGAATTAAAAGTAGGAAAACATGTAAGAAAAGTTAAGATAAATTATAAAATAACAAAAATGTGTAATTATAAAGAAAATTAATCTTTATTATAATATATAATGTATACTTCTTTTTTTGCATGTATGTGCTGACTTTACTGATATTTTCTTTCCTTTAGACAATGCTTTGTCATCTGCGTCTGTAAAACATTTTATTCTCCTATTGAAATCGATGGATTTATATTTTGTAAATTCATTCAAACATTGTGTACCACTATTATCAATATTACCTGACTCTATTTCATCTTCGCTAGGAATATATTCATTTCCTGAACTGTTGTCTGAAGTCTCATTTACTATATTTAAGGGATCTGTACCATTTTTATTCTGCACACAATTATCTTTGATATTTTTAACACTCCTAGATTTATGTAATTTTTTATATGTTTTTGTGTCTGCAGTGGATAGCTTCAATTTTTTGATTGGTACCATATTGTCTTTTTCCTTAGGAATTCTTTTCAATTTCCTTTTTTGCTCAGCAAAGGTAGCTTGCTGTTTAAAATATTTCTCGAGATCTAGTACTTGAGTATCTTTACTTATAGCCCTAGAAATACAAAACATTAGAAATTTTTTTATATCTTTATTAATTTATTAAGTTTTACTTATAAATTCACTAACAAAGTTTTATATAGTAGAATAACTTATGTATATAATAATAATAATATATTATATTCCTATCAAGTTAAATTCTATAAAACTTGAATTAACAAAATTATGTTGAACAGAATATAAATTATACATACTCTTCTTTTTGCTCAAAGGCAGACTGCTTAGATATTGCTTCAAAAGGCGTGATTTCTCCAATTTCAATTTGTTTTTGCAATTCTGCTTTGTGATTCTTCTTGACATTAATCTCTCCATCTCCATTAATCTCTAATCTTGTATCAGTCTCTTGTACTTCTATCACAGGCTTGTGTAAGTTTATAGTGCATTTAATGTGTTCAGATATCTCTTGTAGGATGCTATCTTCTGTCTTCATAGACACAATCTATAAGCTCAGGTATTTTTTAATAGAGAGACATTTTACAATATAAACATGTATCAATTTTGTTATTTCTATTATTTAAATACCTCTTGCAAGTCGCCAGGAAGCTCATCATTAAGAACATCTCTAGTCGTATTATCGCCAATATTCGAAACATTCTCATCATTTACTGTCCCTGCCATAATGTAAAATCATATAACGTTTCACTATGCGCAAATATTTACTTGTATTGAACCCAACATAACAGCATGCCGACAAAGATGTATCTGTGCGGAATTGCGCATAGATTCGGTGCCGGTTATAAATCACGTAAATCGATCGATTCATCGAAATCGTTATCACTCAATAAATAAAGCCAGCGGCACACGGTGCTTGTTTTTGTGCTGGGTTGCTTGCTGGATGAAAATACTACGTCCTGATTGGTACATTTCCGAACATGGATGGAAATGCACCAATCAGAATGCAATATTTTCATCCAGCAAGCAATCCAGCATGAAAACAAGCACCGTGTGCCGCTGGCTTTATATAAACCCGATTCTCCCGCGATTGTTGTTAGATGTACACCCACGGTAATCGATTTTGTCCCTTGGAAATTTTCACAAACTGAGAAGTGACTACGTTTCTACACTACTCACAGTTCATGCACGATTAATAAAATAACTAAAACTTACGCTCGCTTATGGAGGATTGAGGCCTGGTCTACAATACGTGTCGTAAGTTGTAAGCCGTAAGAATTGGCGAATCACAGTCAATTATTATAAAAATATTCGGCTATAATTAGCCACTTCTTACGGCTTACAGCTTACAACACCTATTATAGACCAGGCCTCAATTCTCTATAAGCGAGCGTAAGTTTTAGTTATTTTATTAATCGTCCATGGACTGTGAGTAGTGTAGAAACGTAGTCACTACTCAGTTTGTGAAAATTTCCAAGGGACAGAATCGATTACCGTGGGTGTACGGTCGCGGACATAAAGGTTGTCACTTTTTTTAATGACTCAGGACGTATCCCGACTCAAGAAAAATGAGAACTGCTGCTTCGCCTGCGGAGCACGCCTGCGCAGTAACTCACAACGAAATGTGAGAAATGAAATATACGTGGTATAACATAAATATGTCAACAATGGGTGCATTCGGTACTACAACCGCTCACTGAGCGCTCAATGAGCTTTTACATTTGATTGGTATATTCCTTTAGATTTAAAAATATACACCAATCAGATGCAAAAGCTCACTTAGCGTTCAGTGAGCGGTTGTAGTACTGAATGCACCCAATCATTGCGCTCAGTGGAGAAAACCGCTCAGTGAGCGATTAGTGACTATTGGTCCTTACTGTTAGATCCTTACATTCAGACCAATAACGTTGATGAATTATTCCACAGTTGCTCGATCGTTGAATGTCGTGAACGCACCCAATTCTTACATTTTGAAAAATCAGCAGCGGAGGGATAGATACATAGTGCAAGTCACTCAAATAGGAATGCGTCTTTTGCAAAATATTAAACAGGTATGTATATTAAATTTTAAGTGAAATCGTATTTTTTTAGTCACTAATTGCTCACTGAGCGGTTTTCTCCGCTGAACGCAATGATTATTGACATACTTATGTCATACCACGTATATTTCATTTCACGCATTTCGTTGTGAGTTACTGCGCAGGCGTGCTCCGCAGGCAGAGTAGCAGTAACTTTTAGATGCTGTTACATATATTGTTAACACTTTGCCGTCCGCACGTCTCGTAAAAATTTATTCGCTTGGCGCCGGCAGCGCTAATTCGGATTACTTGGCTTGTCGCCGGCCGTTCTTGACATTATCGGAAGATTATAAATTGTTAAGTTTTACTAATCTCATCGTTAGTTCTCATAAGTTCTCAACCCTGTTCCCCTACTTTCATGAAATTTCGAAGATATACATACGTAAATAAATACAAAATTTGTTTGTTTTATATATTAGTTTATTTGCATTTTCTTTGGTACTTAGTATTTCTCTTTCATATGATATGCAGCAAAACAGTCTCCAAGATGTAACGCAACTCCACAAGACTTGCACATTAAGTTTGTTGCTCTTCTTTTTTTGTTCTTGGAACATACATGGCAGTTTCTTCGTTTTCGTTTATTCGTTTCGGAAATAAGTATCAGTTGGTGTTGCTTTATGTGACCGGAAGGTCTGTCAACCGGATCATGATGAGACGTACGCGATGTAGTGGCAACCTCCAAGTTTTGCTCAGAAGCAGGTACATGGTCTTTTATCCACGAATCAGACACTTTCAATAAAAAATCGTGAAATCGGACGCGCACGACACCACTGTGGTGTCGCCGGCCGTTGACCGCTAGTTCGCGCACGACACCACTGTGGTGTCGCCGGACGGCATAGTGTTAATATAATTTAATAAAGTATAATAATGAACAATATATTTGCTTATTTTTTAACCACATAAATACAATCCATAAATTTCAATCAAAACTATATCCTTTTTCTTTTTTCTTTCTTTCAAGAATTTATCGTTAACAACTGTTCGTAAGTGTCAGTGACATTATTTGATCACGTATAATTAATATAGTAAAACTTCCTTAACCCTTTGATGCATGCTGGTAACCTACGTTACCACCATGCATCAAAGGGTTAATGAAGTTTTACTATATTAATTATACGTTCTTCTTTACTATTTGGCAGTTTATTATCCAATTAACACATTTAGACTGGTTGTTTGGTATTTCACCGCTATCTTAGGGATATAATAATATAAAAAAGTAGTTTAGGACTTATTATTTATTGCAAGTTTTATAAATAAACAAAGAGCAGAAAAACTCATTTCTTTCTGACCTCGGATTTGTGATCAGCGACCCAAAAAACTATTGCATACCAAATTTCATAAATAATGGATTAACCGAAAAATGTATGTTTTATATACATAAAACATGCTCAAGCCCCAGACAGTATTTGTGTGCCGTTAATGTATGACTAAGGACATTTGGTTCGTACGAGTCGTATGGATCAATGTTAGCCGATGGTAATGTCCAACAATGGATCATGCCATCTAAACTACCGCTGTAACATCGATTACCCATATTACACATGGCTAGACACAATACAGGTCCAGTATATAATCTATTAGGTTGTTCGGAAAGTTCGTTTCAAATTTTTGAAATAAATTAAGAGCGCAATATTTTACACAAAGAGGAACTTTATTGAAGCAAATATGTACCGTTTTGTTCAACGACCTTGGCCCATCTTTCAGGAAGCTGCATGATGTCTTTGCTCCAAAATAAAGGTTTCTTATTGGCGAAGAATTTATCAAGATGACTTTTGAGGACTTTCAAAGACTCGAATTTCTTGTCCCGAAGAAAATTTTTTAAAAAAAGAAATAGATAGTAGTCAGATGGAGCAAGGTTGGGAGAATATGGAGGATGAGGAAGAACGTCCCATTCGAAGTCTAACAGTTTCCTACGGATAGACATTGCGACGTGAGGTCTGACGTTATCATGATGGAAAACAATTCCACGCCTGTTGGCCAATTCAGGGCGCTTCCGTGCGATGGCAGTCTTCAGTTCGTCTAGTTGAAGGCTGTACTTCGCCGCGTTGATGGTTTCGTTTGGTTGAAGAAGCTCATAATATACCACGCCCTTAAAATCCCACCAGATACTCAGAAGAACCTTTTTCGCGTGAAGCCCCGGCTTGGCCACTGTTTGCGTAGACGCGTCGCTAGTTCCCAACGACCTCTTGCGGCTAACATAGTTGTATAGGATCCAACTTTCATCGCCTGTTATGATTCTCTTCAAGAACGGTTCTTTTTGATGCCGTTGAAGCAGCATATCGCAGACATTCACACGTTCCAGCAATGCCGTTCATTCATTTCGTGTGGCACCCACACATCCAGTCGACTTGAGAATCCTAGCTTCTTCAGATGGTCATGCACGGTGGAAACAGACTTGTGCAGAGTGTCGGCGAGTTCTCTAACTGTCATTCGAGGATTTTCGTGCACGAGATCCATAAGAAGCGTTTCATCAACCTCCTGAGGCCGGCCTGAGCGAGCTTGATCTTCCATGTTGAAATCGCCAGCTTCGAATCTTCGATATCATTTTCGAACTGTCTGGTGAGTGACGCAGGCATCTCCATATACTGAGAACATCTCATTCAGGGTCTGCGAAGCCGTAAAGCCACGTTTAAAGCAATATAGCATCACATGACGAAAATGGACTTTTTGGTTCTCCATTTTTCAAACTGATTTCTGACGAAATAGTTACACTTAGGAAGATCTGCGAAGTTTCCTTAGCGGGCTCATAGATCCGGGAATGTTTGTTGACAAACATAAAATCGTTTAGAGCGCCCTCGTTCTTACTGATTATATAGAAATGTGGAGCGCGCGAAATTTGAAATGAACTTTCCGAACAACCTAATAAATGTGTAAAGTGGTTCTACATCTAACGAAGCTGACATGAAAGAATATTAAAACATAAAATTATGATATACAGTATCTTTGAAATGAAATGTTGCGGTTTATATTTTATATATTTTCACAGCATTAATCAATATTGGATTTACTTTTTTGCCGATACAGTCTTATGAAGATTCCACTTCAGTGTGTGATCATCGCTTGAGGTAATAAGAACCGGATCTGCGGGGTGGAAGACGAGTGCTCTAACAGCGTTAAAATGTGAACGTAACGTATATTTAGCGTTCCATATTTTTCTGAGGGTTTCCTTCGTAGTGGAAACCATCTGTGTCGCAAGAAATAATATGTTAATGTCAACAAACTGTAACTCTAAAGGCTCGTCTACATTAGCTGTAAGAGTAAGGCTGTAAGGTTGCAAGACACGAAATGAAATATTTTCATTCGCTGACAGCTTACGTTACAGCCTTACAGCCTTACTCTTACAGCTATTGTAGACGAGCCTTTACATAGCTGAAAAAGCGACTCGATTGAAATATAGGGGAAAATTCTTGGAACTTACATCGTACGATATTTCTGCATCATTGTTAACACATAATTGTTCTAATTCTCCTAATTCCAGCGTGGAGTCACCGCCTTCTTTATTATTTGGGCATCTTGGATTTTGTTGTAATCAATAATTTGAGGTTTTATTTTGTACTTCTAAGGCCAAGACTTATTAACAGCTAAAGACATATTCGAATTGATCTTGTCTTAATTGGTCGGATCAGTGATCGGTCTTGCCTTAACTGCCAAGCCTCATAACTCGGAAAGTACTCGATGAAATGTAACTTTGTTAGAGTGTTTTGGAATGCTCTCGAGATAAGCTACAAGAATATGTAATAAAAAATCGTAGTTTCTATTTAAAAAAACATTAATGACCTTGGCCTGATTTTGACAAGGTCACTTCACTCAAGGTCAAGTCCACATTTCCGTTATGTGTCGTCCTTCAAGCCATGCAACTTTCGTTCGAAAAATTTTTTAATAAAATAACAAATTTTTACAAGTAAAATTTATCATTATTTATTAGAACATTGAGTTATATGGTTATTTTACCGTTTTTGGATAGCATTTGTTACTATTACATCGATATTATACTTTTCTAAAAGCAAAATCGCACGGTGATTTCAAGGATGAAGATTCCTCTTGTGTGAGATATTAATTATTCATTCTTTATTAATGGGAAAATATTTTTCTTTGGTTTAAATGTTCAAGAAAAATTATTTGTCCTCTGAGAATCTTTCAATTTTTATGTTCGTGAAAAGTTTATAAAATTCGTAAAGAAAAAAAATTATTTTACTACCTACCTGTTCAAGAGTTGCACATAAGAGATATTTTAACAAATCTGAATCTGAATCAGTCAACAAATTAAATTTTTCATTCAAAGAAGCATATGTAGGGTAAGTATAAGTAAGATAAGTATAAATAATAATAAAGCATAAGTAAGATAACTATAAATAATAAATTAAATATTATTCTCTGAATATAATAATAAATAAATGTTTTTTTCTTTAGCTGAATCATCGAAGTAAATATTCTATTATAAATTGACTTTTCGGGTTACAATATTAATTTGATTTTTCAGAGTACGCTTTAAAATTGACTCTTCGGAATACGCTATTAAATTGACTTTTCGGAGTACACTTTTGAATTGACTCTTCTGACTACACACTTTGTTAGTTGACTCTGTGGGGTACATATTTTTTAATTAACTCTTCGGAGAATAGAGAAGAGGAACATTTTCTATTTTATTTAAAAAATCTTAATTTTTGCAGAAAACTGATTGATGAAGAAAAAAATTAATTCACGACCTCAACGAAGATCTTAAAAAAATTACTGCAAGAAATAAAGTTGTTGTTATTATATACCATATTGTACAATATTAAAACATACGCGCAATAATTATCTATAATTTGCATATATGGGCGTTTATGTAATTATAAATAATATAAAAGTCATAACAAATTAATGTGGCGTGTTATCTCTGTCGTCATTGCTAGAAATCGTCCGAACTCTCGAAATTATTTTCTTCCCGAATTATGAATATAAAACAATGTGGAAAGGAAAATAAGGGGATGAAAGGGGGAGACGGCGACGTCTGCCTTACGGTAACATCGCTGCTGGCTCGCTTTGTCGCGATTGTCTATTCGCTGGTGGTGAGATAAAGACCGATTCTTCGTTTTTATCTAACTAATCTAGCTTGCTCGTGAACATAGCACAGAACAGAACCAAATAATTATGGACATAGCACGGAATAGTACCAACAAATCGTGGACATTGGCTTAGTAGTTCATGTCCATGAAAAATGGACCCAGTTGGCGCTGCGAATCAGCCAACTTTTCCATAACGCTGTAAACCACAGCCATGCCCGCTCTCAGGCTTCTCTCTGATTATAATATGTCCCACCGCATATATTTCATTTCTCTCCTTTCGTCGTGAGTCACTGCGCAGGCGTGCTCCACAGGCGGAGCAGTGACTCTCATTCTTCTCGAGTCGAGATGCGTTCCGAAAGTTGCAAAAAAACGGTCGCAAACCTTTATGTTCGCAAGTGTACAGCACCCTCAGAGCGGGTGGTTCAGCCATCTATAGAAACGAGTGTATCAGCAGAGAGGAACGTGAGAGCGGCCAACACAGCGTTTTCGACGACACCGATTTTCCACACTGGGAAAGGGGGCCATCTGCATCCATTTTGAGAGGGGAACTACGATGCTACATCCACTTTCAGGTTTCGGCAGTAAAACCTGTATGTGGTGACAGTCCGTGCTACATCAATTTTTTGGCGGTTTATGTCCGTGCTACAACCATAATAGCGTACTTGACAAGCACGGTCTCGCACATTGTTACGCGTTTATAACATGAATTAACATGTTAACATGTGCAAAAAAAGAATTGACATTGTGTATAATTAATATCATGAAGATCATACGAAGTGTCCGGTAATTAGCTGCCAACCTGAAGTGTGAGGGTAGATTGGGTTGAGACAAACATAAAAGTCCCATACCGTTTTGCGAGATTCGCAATAATTATCGAGTTATTAATGACAGAAATCTGAGGAGTAAAAGCGCGCCGACATAGATGATTCGAAAAGCGTTGCAGCTGCTCAGGGCAGCGATCATGAATCTTTTCCCTAGCGTGAACTAATAAAAAGTGAAAGACTTCTGTGAATCAGTGAAAAATGAAAAATTTTATATGAATTTGTGAAAATCGAAACATTTCACACGACAATTGAGTCGTTCGACATGGCAGTTGCGTTCTGGATAATTCTTAATGAATACCAAAGAAATAAAAATGATCAAAATAATAATGTCCATGTAGTCCGGAGGATATTACGTGACACGCAAAATCCGTTTGATATAATATCCAAAGAAAATGTTTCAAAATATGTGTGTATGTACGTATCGGAAGATATCAAAGACTATTAATACAGAAAATAGGCCGAATATGCATATGTATATGTTTCTTAGATTTGCGAGACATGAGAAAATTTAGAATAACTTTTATTTTATAAATATATACACACGTTGGCATTCCTTAAGTTAATAATTCGAAGTTGAAATAATACTAAAATTGCAACCGGAAACATATGTACAGAGTGTTTCACAAATTCCTCGCTCCTACGAATTCACGAAGACATAGAACGAATTAAGATAAATAAAAAATTCCCATACCATTTTGCGATGTGCGCAACAACCGAGCTATTAATTACAGAAATGTAATGAATGAGCACGCGCCGAGATGGTATCGAAAAAGCAACGAAACTGCTCGAGCCAAGAGCGGCCCACATGATCTAACGACAGCGTGCAAGAAGGAGAAGAAGAAGAAGATTCTTTTCACACGCGTGAGCGTATAATTAGCTCAAGCTTTCTTCACACGATTTTTGCAAGATTTGAAACGACAAAATTCGCCCCCGAAGAAAGCCTCAGCCAATCGCACGCTCGTATGCATATAAATAACACATTTGGATTTGTATCTCGAATCTTTCGAAAAAAGTCGATACTCGCTCTTCAGGTTCTCACAGAGAATGTCTAAAAACCTCCCTCAAACAAGCAGTATCTGATCTTGAAATTTTCATGGATTCCGAATTTTGTAAAGCGCAAGTTGGAGGAACGAGAATAATTTCCTTCGCGGTATTTGATTTCAAGATGGTACGTGCGTTGAGTATTCTCCACGTGCAACATTTTTCGTAGGCATGTCTCGGGACAGTACGAGCGACGAACTTGCGTAAAAGAGCTGGAAAACTTTACGAGACGTATCGTTCAGAGGAGAAAAGTTATCCGCGGTGTCACTTTCACCATATTTATCCGCAAAAATAATCGTAATGCGGATTAAACAGCCGCGGGAGCAGCTGCGGAAGGAAAATTCATGCGGTTTTTACGACCTCACTGGTAGCAGGCTCTGATTTCTTCTCGTCTTTATCATCGACGAAAAAAGCGCCCCCATTTTAAAGAGCGATTATAAAATGCGCGACTACTTTGTCACGCTTATATCATCAACTCCCGCTTCAATCTCCCATCCTCGATAGAGTTTCAACGCACGATCAAGCGCGAGATGAAGATTCAGTTTCCGCGAAGAAATTAGTCGGGGGACGTTCGCAGCCGCGGTGGAATTTAACGTTCGCATTCGCAAGGGCCTAACATTCTACTCGCGAAGGGACGCCATCGCCCCTCTTTTCACAACGGTGTCGGATGTTTAACTCCTTTCTTCCTTATTTTCCGCGACAACGCGACAACCGCGACGGGGCCCTAACGAGGCAAGTTCGCTTATAACTAGCGTTTATCTCAAGAGCGCTTCTCAGGAACATTCCGCGCGAAGGGTTAGTCCGCGATAGAAAGTTTCCTGCGACCAGAGGTCGCTGTGGTTCAAAGTTAAATTGTAGCAACAATATTGTTATCGGGCAGCCCTGAAACGGGCTGCTGGCATCCGTCTGTGACGTCTGCCGTGCGCCTTTGCGATTACCGGTAAATTCAGTTTTCTCGATTGCTCGCGCGATTTCAAGTGGCCATAATATATGGCGAGAATACATAGCAATATATGGCAATAATATATGGCAATAATATACAGCAACAATATATAGCAACAATATATGGCAACAATATATGGCAATAATATATGGCCATAATATATGGCAATAATTTATGGAATATATTTTTCCTTACAAAAGTCAATGCAAATTTGCGGCATGCACAATGTAATAATAAAAGAGCTCTCTGCGAGCATTGAGTCAAACGCTCACCGATGATGATATTGATGATGCCCCGTTGCATCCAACCAGATCCATCAATGTCCGTCCATGTCCGCTGCCGCTCTCTATGTCGCGTAGCATCCATCTTGCAGCGCGTCCCACGTTGATTG